CCTATTGTGAAGCATCGGTTAATGACGCAATTTTTACCATATTTTGGCTCCGGCTCTTATAGTAGAGAGCCTAAAATATTCTCTCATATAAACGAGAATTTTATTTCTAATGTCATTTTTTCAATTCCATTTTCCGGTTTCGGTCTCTATGAAATAGTCTACCATTAACACAGGCGAGTGTTTGGCCGTCCAAGTCTGTGCTTGGCTTCATGTTCTTTACTTTCGATGCGCAGCTGATCGCCATGCATGCGAGGTCTCACTTTAAAAAATTGGGTCACTCGTCACCTCCCAAAAATCACAAGCTAAATTTTAACAAGAACATCAAAACCCACATCATGTCTCACCCATCACTACCCTTCACCCTCAATGCACAGTGTTACAGCATCTTTTCAGCTGTATACGAAATTATCGCCGTTTTATCGCTGGCCGCCCTAATGACAACGGTAACCGCCTCTTCTGTTCGACTATTTTGTAAGGTTGAAGGCCGCGTCGCACGATCGGCTTGGCAGGATAGTTTATGTCCAGGCTTTCCATCTGTGAGAGGCAGTGATGCCGCAATGGTTGAATACCAAGTAGCCAGTAATTGTACAAGGCTCCTACTTGTCGCCGATTGCATAACTGAATTCCAAAATGTTGGTCACACCGCGTGCTTTATTTATGCTCATCGCCTTCTTGGGCATGCAACAAATATGGTGAAATTTTTTCGACGTGTTTTGTCTTTGCGCACTAAGTATTGTAAAACCTAACTACTCAATATGAACTTCGCCCCATGAAAGTGATAACTGTGCATAATACATACATTTTACAGGACTATTTTCAATAAAAGTCATATATTTATCAAAATTTAATATATTTTCAATATGTTGTTGCGTTGAGCTATATACTTTTACAGTTACTAATCTAAATTATCTAATTTAACGTTTGAAAAAAAAGATTTGCCCATCCAAATATATTTCATGTCATTAACATGATTATTTATGAAATTTACACAATTCCCCTAAAGGTGTTATATGGAAACTAATGTACGGCCCATTCACGAGTGTACTCTTATGTCGACAGGTATCCAAATCATGTTTTACAAATTCTATTTCATGCCTTATAATGTATTCTATTGATTCGATCTTTACACTCTACTTAACTTCAACTATATCAAATCAAATTTCCCTATCAGCGAAACGTTTTTTCGACTTTTCTTCATACAAAAGGATCAAGTGAACAACTGGGCTGCCATGCAGATGACATACTCCAGACACTCGTGCTGGACCACGTTGTTCCTGACACGCTAAAAGTCTGGTCAATTCATTCGATCTCTTGTAATTTAATGAGTTGGAATCACGTTCAATTTAAAGGGAGCGCTCTTTATGAATCAATTTAAGAATTTTATAGTAATATTTCTCGATTTCTGTGTCCTCGATTCGTCTTAATTTTTGTATTCAACAATTTAACTGAACGCTTTTTAGTCAGGGTAGTCAGTGAATAAATGGCACGAATTGTATAAACTTATTTTAAAATACCAATTGTGGGATCTTTCATGCTCAGGAGAGGTTTAAAATAAGCAAAGCATTGTCATGATGGAGAACAGTCTGCTAATGAATGACCATAATGAGCACACACTCCGTTGCTTTAAGTCACGTTTTATTTGTTAGTTAGCATTGATTATCACTCTGCAAATGCATTACAAATACCATTAATATTAATACTGGTAACGTTGAAATTTACATGTCAGTCGTCATTTCAATTTACTGTCAACGTCCAGCTATTAATTGGTTGACACGCGAAATTGTTACTTGACATGTAACTGTTGCTTTTGCGAACAGGACATCTTTAGCTGTTGCGTCATATAATGTATAAATCTCGAGCATGATTGCGTATTTTCTTGTAATTTTACTGAAAAATATTTTCAATATTCATGCATGCATTTGATGAGGCACGCAGAGCGACTCTTTGTTTCCAGCGACTATTTTCCCAACATTCGTCACTTGTGAGCTTATTTGCAAATTTTAAATGCAATTATAGTCGTCTACGATCGTTTAAAAGCAATCGTCTTCTCTTTGCGAGCCACCACAACAAGAAAATAGGATATTAGGCTATCTGTGCGCGGGTCAACCTACAATATCCTTCGAATTTTTACATCCTAACGTTACAGTTACCTTTTGCCCTTTATAAATTACAGTATTATTGCCCGCTAGTCTTAATGTTACTACGTGTTTACAATCCAAGGAAGCGTGAAGCTCGCACTTAATGTCGCGCTTGAAGCCTTTTATCTTGTCATATTCTCACTCATTTGGAACCCTATGCTTAGTTGAAGACACGAATTTTAACTTGTCAAAATTGTCTAAGTATGTCATTCAATGTTCGTAAATCTGAATCCGTAAGTAAATTGTACCTTTTTAATTTAAGTTTAGTCCATTATTCTCTCAACCTCCATCACGCATATTTGTTATTTAATTTCTTCAGCCTATGATTCCTGCTGAAATTGTGAAAAGTCATCGGAATTTATAATTACCAGTGGTTGCCAATTAACTAAATAGTAACATGCGTTTGCTAATTCATACCGCAGTATTCTTCAACGAAAGCTGCCATAGAAAATACTCGATAAACGCGTCTGCATGACGACATGTTCTGATGACCCGATGGAAGTCCCTATCACAGTCCAATGCATCGATGGGCTCCGAGTTGCCGTTGTTGTTGCACCTTCATGCAACCGGTCTGCTGCTCCGAGGTTCTTCACCTCAGCGCTGCTGATGCCGATACCTAACCATTTAATACATCGCTCCCGCTACCGCCGTCCAGACATAGCTACTGCATGTTTCTTCTTTTCTCTATTGCTCATCCAATTCTGTACTAGCTGTTTCTTGTGATTCATGAATTCATTCATCGGTGCATATATGAAACTTTGAACGTGCTCCAAAGGAATATGTGTGTAACTGTTCACTGTCTAAGTTATGCTCTTGATTGACGTAGTCTACAATCTAAATATATACCTCTTTGTCTCATGTCAGCAGGAAAAAGTTGAGAGAAAAGCAAAACTATTCTCTTTTTCTCAGTTATGTGACCTGAATAAGTGTATTCTTTGTTTTTTTTCTGACTTGACCCGAACTTCTAGGATACAAAAGCCTGTCTAGGGAAACACGTTTGGGAGGTCTGGCATGGTGCGCGTGGTGTCAGGTCAGAGTACCTGAAGCAAGAATGCGAGCCCAAGGGTCAGTTGCTAGTTTACTCAATTGTCTGATTTTTATCGCTTGCTTGAGATTTAAGATTCGGTTTAATTGGACGAATCACACAATTATTACAGAAATTTTTGCACTATACGCGTGAATCTGCGATGGAATCTGCTTTTATTATTTTAAGATTCATAATAAAAGTATTCCAGCCTTGTTTAAAAATCGACATACATAAATATTGTGCGAAAGTGATGCGGCTTTTCGCGTTTGGTAAAGCCTGAAGCTTTTCCGATGCTGTTTCGCTACTTTAAAATAAACAATTACATTCTATACAAATCTCTTTGGCCCTGGTGCAAAAGGGTCTTATAGATCACTGTACGCTGAACTCTTAAAATTTGTAACATGCTTTACTTAACAGCAAATGAATGATACTGGTTGTAAACCGCCTATCGAAAATTTACTTAAAGCAACTATGACAACATTAGAGTGTTGCACTCTTATTACTTACCCTCATAATTAGGGTTGATTTTTAAATGCCAGACATTAAGTTTCAACAGAGTGGTCTTGTGTATAAATTTAATATGTTTTTTATTTGCTTATTGGCATTCCGCTGGATCGAAAAGATCCCTCGAATTCCAGCGATCCATATTCCAGTAGCGATTCAAGATCCCTATGCTTTAATTTTTTGGATCACGTAACGTGAATATATTTGCATAGACCACACGTGAATGTTGCACTCAGGAATTGTCAAAGACGTAGATTACTTACATCTCTTCACTTTCAACCTCGTAAGCTCGAATGTTTTTCTCTTGCATTTCTTTCACATGGAGGTCATGTTTTTGTTTTATGTTTGTAGCTCTTCATTTCGATACAAGGATCGCCCAATTTAATTACCTTCGGTTATTTTCTGCTGCAGTGAACACAGAATAAAACCTCTGCACTTTTATTGTCCCTGTCTGAACCCCAAAGAAGCAATGCATGCTGTTCAGCTATTGTGAACTTCCGCTCGTCTGAATCATGTACTGCATCTGTATGTGTAATGCGTGCACTCGTAGAGGTATATATAATGCTATTCGCTTGGGCCAGGCACTCAACTTGGCTAAGAAGTGTGATCACGTTTTATGTGCAATACTGATTACGCAGTGTTCTAGTGAAGTGTTCTTACATCGCCGCTTAGATTTATAGAATAGGGATAAAGAGGTTGAGGTTTGTAGCTGCTATGTATGGTACTTACACATTAATTAACTCCGCATTCATTTTTTAAATGCATCTACATCTCTGTCACTAATTGTGATGTGAGTCTCTTGTTTTACAAATGATTTGATTATACGACACTTAAACTTTACGTTACCACAATTATGATATGAGGTCCAGTGAGTTGCCGCAATCACCTGCAATTTGATTCTTCTAAAAACGGTAATTTCCACGTGAGCGGAACTGCGTGCTACGCACATCACTATGATGCGTGATTCGTTTCCGTTTCTGTTTCCGTCCTACAAGGATGTTTAGTGTAAACCGTATACGAATTAGTGATCGCGTTAGCTGCGGCCGAGGTCACTCTTGGTTTTTGAGAAGAAAAAAATACTGAAATAGGCGACGCGTGTTGCGAACCTTTGTGCCAACATGCGTTAGTCATCCTCCAAAGTAGTACATTACCGAAGTGTTGTCACTGTGTGAAAATTAAATTGAACATATTGAATTTTTTTTATTCAACCTTGATATAATTTTGTCATGATTGTGAGCTCCACAATTCGACAAAACACTTCAAAGTATTCTATATCGGTGCTCAGCAGTGCCGGATCTTGTTTTAATTAATTTTTGTTTTCTCATGTGCAGGCTTCCTCTGCACTCATCCAAGAAACCTATCGCCATCTCTACGTCACGCCGCAAATGACCAATCGGAAGTCTCCATTAGTGCCTCGATTGATGTGATCTACTGCCAACTATTAGGTGCGAAATAATCCACTCGTCTGCTACTCTGAACGTCTTCGGACACTATGTGATTTGAAACATTTGCACTATTGTAATTGTTGTATTTTTCATCGAATAACCCTTTGAGGTACAAACCACTTAAATGTACGTAATTTTACTACAATCCATGCAGTTTTGGGTGCGATAGTGTAATTTGGCAGAGCCAATAGCTTATGCCATCGCTGAGTGACATCACGAAGCTAGTCGCTTATTGGTCGGGCTTCTCTTACGCATCGTGTAGGTCCAATAGCTTATGCCATCGCTGAGTGACATCACGAAGCTAGTCGCTTATTGGTCGGGCTTGTCTTACGCATCGTGTAGGTTGCCTTCTGGCAGAGCATCATTGCCCGGTCAGCTTCGGAGAAGGCTGTTCGTGATTTTGTTCTGCTTATGTCCCGTCCGCTTACATATTATCCCAGTGTGTGGTGCTTCGCTTTAATTGCACTTCTGTGAACATACAGTGTGAGTGATCCTTATTCTACTTCATTGGAAATTGGTGATCGTTGTTAGTTAGGCTAACCGCAATCGTGAATTACCTTATATAATCTGTCTTTAGTGTCTTATTTATATTCGTTGATACTCATGCTATTGCTTGAACGGCTTGTAATTAATAGCATACTTGAAGCATAGTTCTTGGGAGCTGTAAAGAGAATCTCACTACTTCACCTAATCGTTGCTGACAGCGATATCTGGATTTTAACATCTTTAACTTTTTTCTGAAGTCCGTGTTGAATCTTCACATGTAATTGTGCTATTTTTGCTTGACCTGAGTTCGTGAGCTGATTTACTTAACCATCGCCTGATCCAGTAAATTGGTTTGAACAACATTATCATTTATTTTTTTAATCTGTATCAAACTATACGGGACTTGCTCTCCAAGTTAAAAAGTGAGCTGATGCAAATCTAGTGTATTTTTGATAACAACACTCGTTTCCCTTCATATTGCAACATGAAGGAGAAGGTTGAAAACGTTCCTGCCAACTACCCAAATTCGCTGAGGCCAAACTCTAGTTACGCATCATCAGCTTCATCCACGTCTTCTTATGCGTCCACTCATTCGTGTGCATCTTCCGCTGCTTCTTCGTGCTCAGGCTCCGGTTCCGAGAAATCTTCCTCATTTTTGCACTCCAATGAGGGTAGACTTTTAACAGAGGCGAATCAGCCTTTCGAGTACCCTGCACAGCAATACCACACTCTCAGACGATATCCTAGTGAGAGCTCCTCTCCTCCAAATTCTCAATCCTTCACCCCAGCTTACACACCTGCCACTGGCAGCACAGATTATGCTTCAATTTCAATCAAATATAATACGTTGTCAAGGGCCACTCCGGCTATACGAGGCCCTGGTGTCTTTAGAAACGCCCCGACGATAAGCACGCCTGTACCAACAAACTTCAGACACAGCGTCATCGACACAGCCGCTACACCAACGGCTCCTACGCCTAACTTTGGCGAACACGTTTCCATGCGGCTGGGCTCGAGCTATAGCATAGCCAGAGTTAACCATGACGTGGGAGGCGTCGCTGCCTTGAATGGCGATAGTGGCATGCGAGGAGTGTCTTCTCTAGGTGAGGTGACATCATCGAAGCACCGGTCCCCTCACTACGCTTCTACGCCACATCTCTTCGTGTTCCAGACTCCTGATGATGACGAGAGCGAAGATATTGATGATTCCAATATGTCTCAAATCACGAAATGCAACACTTTAAAGAACACCAGTACAACTGAACGTGTTGAAACGCAAAATTTCTCCAAAACTCTTCCAAGGCCGACTGCTGCACAGCCAAGCAATGAGCCAATCTATTCTTCTACTGTTGATATCAGGAAGGACGTCAGCCGACGAGAGGTGAATTTCGTTCTTTTACTTTTTGCTTGAGCAATTTGCTGTGTTCTGCATGCAGTGATCTATGGTTTCTTTATGACACGTATTAAATCTTGTTATTTCTGTCGAACTTTAACGCATTCTCCTTTTCCTTGAATAACACCTCTGCCCCCTAACATTTTGTAAGCCATCTTCGAGGGAAGCCAGGAACACTTGAGATTAGCTAGTTCTCTATCTCTATAGCAATTTCTGATTTCTCTCATGACCATGTAATCCCAAAAACTTTAACGCATCTAATGCCTGCTTGGGTGTGCCTGTGACGGATACTACCGCCTCCAGGTGTCGTTAGTATACATGCATCGTGTGACATCAGTTGTTCCTTCCCGTGAGAGTGCATTGCTGAGTTGGCACCTCTGGCACTGCAAGGACTTACAGGGCTGCATGCTTGCTGAGCCTTCATTGTGAACCTTTCTTCCTTCTCTTTACTAATCCGTAGCGATATTATTATTATTCATGTATTACAACAAATCATCTCTAGTAGAAACTCGTCTTTATTAATATATCATTATTATATTTTCTCTCCTCCCTCTCGCATGTTCGTTCAAATTTAGTTTTAATTTTTAACCTCTTGCTGTATAGTGTTACTTCTCAAAATTAAGCGTGCATACTTGAAACCTATTTCATATTAGATTTTTTACATTAGTTTTGTCAGACTAAAGCAAACGACTCACCGCTCATAACCATGAATTTATTGTATTAGCTGAGTAATGTTTTCGCCCATCCTCAAGAAAGTGACGCGCCTCATCTTAACCAAGTTCCGAGTATTAGCTGAATATGTATGTATTGATATTAAATTGCGATATTGGAGAGGTGACTCACTAAGGTGTCCTTCGCTGCCGACCAATCCTAATCAGGAAGGAAACTATGAAAAGCATCCGCAGAAAAACTTGAACTTGAGACGCGCAGCAACATTTTATGTGAACAAGGACAGATTCAACGTCAGACCAGCTGCATGCATGGGTAGCCTTGTACAGTCGATGGCCGGCCATTTGCACGTCCTGTTCCTTTGCGATTAGATGCCACTCAGTTGCTCAGACTTGAATGTTATTTCGTGACACCATTTTAGTAATTTCGTTTATTTCTAGATAAATCTGTCTAAGAAAAGGTAGGCGTCACGTTCTTTGGTCATATTGGGCTCAACGTTTCAACATGGAATAGTTAAACACACTGTCGGTGTCGAGAGCCAAAACGGTTATACGAGGGCCGAGGCTACTAAAACGCGTAAGGTGTGCACACATTACTAACACACACGGTTTTCATTTACATTCACACACATGATTCAGCTTCCTTTGCATCTTTCTTTCGTCCGGGCGTATTATAATTTCATATGTATTTATTGGTTTATAAAAATTTTATGATTTGCTTGATTATTTGTGATGTCTGGTGAATGTCTAAATGACAATTGGTAGTTTAGCTGCTACTTATAACAGTTTTTGTGGTGACATAGCAGGTGACATAATCACCTTAGCAAAGTTAGAGTTAGAGACTCGTTTTAGTTGAGTTAGAGACTAGTGCTGAAGGAAGGAAGTAAGGAAACTCAGCCTGATCTTTGTCAAGGTATCACCTTCGCTAGAGAAACAAGTTACGTCATCTCATATCTGGGAGGTGGAGTGCGTTGTGCAGTCTGCGAGTATTGTGCAATCATGACGCTGACCCCAGCGTGACGTAGCATTAAATTTCGACTTGTTCTCGGTTCCATATTCCACGTATTGACGACTCACTTCTTGTGGTTGGAGTATTGAATTCTGATGCTTATTTCAGAAAATCATTTCATTTATTATCCTTTCTCGTTTGATAAGGCACGACGTTATCGTACACTTCTAGTATCTTTTACATTTTTCCATGTTTTGCCATTTTCGCCCTAAACAGATAATTGATCGCAAATTGCTGCAAAACTTCATTAACATAAATATAAAGCTAAAAAGGCGGTTACTTTTTTTGTATAAAACAATATTGCCATATTATTCTCACAATAGTAACGAACGAACATTAGCTTGACTTTACTTAAGAATGTTCATTTTTGCAGGAGGCGGCTGCTGGTCGCATCACCGAGCTGTACGAGGCTCCAAGGGCTCTAAGTGCAACACGCCGGTCGTCGTCCTGCAGTATGATCGACCAGGACAACTTCGCTGTGACTAACCAGGTGGTCGCTAGGATAGAGACCTCCTTCAGGGGACACAAGACTCAAGTTTGGGTGTGCAGGACTATGGCCAACCTCTACACTGAAGAAGGGGACGGCAAAAATGCCAAGTGGAATCTCAAGTTTACGGGTGTGCCAGTAATTCTCCTGGACTTGGGCGAGACAAAGAGTAGGGCTAAGCGTCAGCTGCAGATCATTCTAGCTGAGAAAGAGAGTGGGTTTGAACTGTGGAAGGACGTTGTAGATAATTTGACTTCTTACAAAGTTCAAGAGCCTCACTTCCACACGATGTTCTTGTCTTCTGACCACAGACGTAAAATTGGTTTATCGTATAATGAAGGCGATGCTGCAATGGCCTTCCATAAACAGTTAGAAACTCTGACGTCTGATCCGGAAAATATTTCATTATCTGCTCCTGGTAAGAAAAAGAAGCTCAAGAATAAAGAAAAATTGCCTAAGTACAAAGCTCCTCGCAAAAATGATATCTCAATGCCGTGCAACTTTCATCACGTTACGTCGGTGGATCCGGCTGACCGGATTAGACTTTATTCTCTCCAAATATGCAGCAAGAACCCGAATATCTTATCACAAGAACCTAGCAGAACCTTGAGTCTTCCGGTCCATGAGCAACCTGCACCCACAGCTGTGTAAAATTAACTTGTTATCCAATAGTATCTATATTTTCGTCAATTAAATTTAATCATTTCTCATTCAGCGGCGCCAATCTATGTTTGATTTTGTGGGCTGCAACTTGAAATTTAAGTTTGCCAGTTAGAGGAGGATCAATACTCATCTTAAAACTTTATTTCGCATATGAATTATAATAATGCCTCAAATTTCGGCTTGTATCTCCAGAACATTCGAAACGACAGGTCTAGCGGAGAGCGCTAACGACGTTGCGCCACCGACCTTTTGTCCCAAATGAGGCATGCCGATTATTTTTTTATCGGCTGTTCTCTGGAAGTTCTTATTGCGTAATGAGATGTTGATTTAACTAGATATTAATTAATTGTATTTATGCAAGCACCTTGAGCAAAGGCTGTACTTAGCGAATTTATCAAACATTAATTGAGCTCATTAAATTTCGAAGTATACGCATCATTCTAATGATGTTTGTGACGCTCGTACCGCGTGAATGTCTTGACGCCCCAACAGTGCTGCACGATGAGACAAGAAAACTTTATAATATTGTTGAACTTTTTATAAATAATTTAAAATCGTTTTGGAGCATTGCCGATTGGACAGCTAACATTAATATTTTATTGTAATAATAGCCTAGCCGTTTGATGATTGCTCATGATTTCATAGTTATTCGTTCTATACGGTATATGTGATAGGTAGTTTGTTGAATCAAATGAGTGCCAATGTACATAAATATCGTTATAATGTTATTGCTGCTAAAGTGCATCGTGTACTGTTGGACTAGAGTGCTACTCCGTTCCTCCGTTTTCGTTGCCAATTTTCAAGTTTTGTAGATTTCTTTCACTGTTTTCTGTATTATGAAATAGCCAACAGCTAAATAGTAACTGAGGGCAAAACTGGATAAACTTATTACGAGACATTTTATAAAATTATTTATTTCCGTAATTAGAATCTCAAAATTTCGTGCGAATTGCCAGCTAAGTCGTAAGCTGTACAACTTTAAATTTGTACGAGTTAAAGGGCGGAAAATACGCGCTTATTCTGCATCCGGCTACTGTTATGAGATATTTTTGCAGTTTCAACTCTCAAGTTTGCTGGCAAATATTGTCCTCTTAAACATAATTTTAGAGTCTCGCTCTCTTATTCAGAACAACATTCATTTTTTAGTGCAAATAAGTTTGTAGGGGGAAAGGAAAGTAGCTGGTTTAAATTAAGCATCGGTTAATGCGATGTATTTTATTTTAATCGTTCATCACTATCACATTCACTGTTATTCCAACTATCACTAGTGATTTCGTCAAATTATCACTATTTCATTCGGTAAGGAAGACAAACATGCATGAAGAAATTCTCGATGTTCTTGATTTCATGAATTATATCATGCAATTTATTGGCTGTCCATACTTTGAAAATGCAACAAATATTACAACTTTTTTCATATATATGTACCATAAACTGGTATGTTGGGGGGATGCTTGCAACGATGCTGTGTCACATGCAATTTGTTACGCGTATATACGTTGTTATTGTTCATAGCTGCAGCTTTTTCTTAGTGTAGTGTTACTCGGTAATCTTTGTAATATTTAATGATTTAAGTGATTATAAATGTGTCTTGAAGGTCGCTGGAACATGAGGCATGTATCAAAAGGACGGTGTTTGATAAGTGTTGGATGATCTCTATCCGTAGCTATAGATAGCTGGTCTTCGAGATACTTGATAAGGTTATAGTCTTCAAGTTATTATCTATACAACGTTAAACCTTCGTATTTGCTTGTTATTTTAGCCAAGTAAATTTGCTGCGATGTACGTTGGTGCTTTTTTAGGTTCATTTATCTTATATTAGCCCAATTCCATTAATTTATACTCAAATTTTATACTTGGCTTTACGCTGTCATCATTGCTGCCTTTGTTTGTATGCATCTTAACCTAGCTTTTTATCGTGTCTATAAATTTCTTTAATCGTTTTCAGTGTTTGTTTCATCCCCAAAAATTATCGTCCGTGACTACATCTAGAAATTTTGGTTCTTCTAGTCAATAATAAAAAACGAGATGCGATTGTTCTAGTTCGATGGCTTTCCGAGACCCGATAGCAAAAATAGAAAAGAATTCTCTGTCGAATGATTGAATCCTCTTAATGAACTGCAAATAATTTGAACATCGAAGACTTTGTTCTGATTTTATCCTATGAAAATCGACCAGCGGCCAAGCTTAATCATAAAGAATGCATGACACTCACACCTACTGTTAGAAAATGACTGCTTACCTTCGTAGCTAACATCAACGCATGATGCGCAAAAATTAAAACATAGCGAAATATCAAAAATAATTGCTATTTTCTGACATTGCCCGGCCACCAGAGAAACATTTTTTTATTACATTTTATCTTTCATGGGCCTTTTTGAGTGGAGTCCCAAATTAATGTGTTGAAATTAAAACAGACGAGTAAGATTGATTTCAAGTTATTGACTACCTCACCCAGTTGTCAATCAAATATGCCCATAGATTCAAAGGAGAATAATTCTGTGAATAATAATTGTGCCTTGAATTTTATTGATATCCCGTTTGTTGAAAGTTGTGAGCCAAGTCAGCCTTTATACGTTTTACATAAGCAAATGAGCCGCAGACGAAATAAATATATTTTAAAAAATTAATAATGGTATTTGCGTTAAGCATCTAGGAAGCTTGGGTATAACTCTTGAAAAATGGTATTCCCTGAGTCTTATCCGGTTATATAAATAAATTTATCTAACAAGAGCATTACACAACAAATTTTTCGATTCAAACAGAAGCATTACACTACAATTTTTTTTATTCTAATTGCCAGCTTAATTATTTAAATAGGTTTAGCAATTAGAAATATTTTTGGAAAACACCGTTCTAAATGATAGAACGCAAAAATTGGATCTAATACGTATGAAAAAGATTCTTCAATTAATATAATTTGTTTAATCACGATATTCTCGCTGCCATCATACATATATTTCAAATGTTGAGTAGTTTTGTTTATAGAAGGATCGTCTATTTACCAGAAAGTGTGTCCATAGTCAACATTGAAATCAGTCCTGCAAGAGCGAACAAGAAGACTCGCAATCAGCTGTAAATAAGTACGAAGATGGCTGCCATCAAATGTAGTAGAACTTAATACGCAATTTGAACTAATGATAAGCGTTTCTCGCATTAATTTCTTATTCTAATTACGTTAACCATATGCAATGATTTAGTTTTACATGCGGAAATTGATCGGAACTTTCTCATAATCTGTCCATGTAAATTTCATTCATGCTCAAGTAATGTCAAATTAATTCATTTGAGTGCCACTGGCTTCCGTTTTGGCACTGCAGTTCCTCCACGAAAACAATCCGTGCTTGTAATTTGAAACCTTGAATTGGCAATCTAATCAAAGCCAATTGGAATAGGCCTGTGCATGTTATAGCTGATAATATTTTCATTTTTCTGATTTCAGCACTTACTGTCTGTCTGACTGTCTCTAAAATATTCCATGAATAAATGTCTCATAGCTATGTTCTAAATCAAAAATATGTTCTAAAATAAAAAAAACTGTAAACTTATGCAAAAATTCTCATTTTACCAATACCAACAAACTTACAAGTTACAAGGTTTTTGACACACACAAAATGATGAGAATTGAGATACCTAAACTGCAATTATTTCATGGCATTCAGGCTTCAGCACATATGAATGATATGATTATAGGTAAGACTAAGAGTATGTGAACATAAGATGAGAACTTGAGAAGGTATCCCATGCCATTGGCAGCCGGCAGGAAGATGCGCCAGGTGCATGGGAATTTGTGTAGGGTAAACACACCATATTCTGACACTTTAAGGACGTAGCAAGAAATGAATGGCTATAAAAGGATCACTGTATGCCGTATGCGCAACTCAAGTTCTGATTGCTTTACGCGATTAAGTCACTCTCAAAACACCACACTACGCGCCACTGCGCCAGCAACAATGAAATGTCACAAACTGTTGCCATTTTTATTTAAAAGCCTTTAGAATTGAAAATCTACAAAATCACTAAATTCCGACGCTGTGTGTGACTAAATTTGGCATACTGTGAGACTAATTACGACATCACTGAAATGCACGGTGTGATTTCTGTAGACTTGCGGACAGAGCGCTTCAAAATCGTAATTCGTAATTCCAAAGCCCTGTGTGACTTGTGAGCTGTATTGGAATACAACACAGCTCGGAACTAGCTAAGCTGTGTGTGTCTAATTTCGAGCTATATTGGAATTGGTTTTTATGTGTCTAAAACTGTCTCTTAAATTAATCATCTATTAATTTATTTACCACTTAAAATCAGCAAATACAAGTATACTTAAAGGATTCCTAATATATTCACAGACTTATTTAAAAGTCTCAAACCATAATATTCTTTTTACACAAACAGTTTATCACTATTTGGTAGAGCAAGGTCAACTATCAACTTTGACACGTTTTTCAATGTTCTCACTCCCGATTGGAAATTTAAGGTAATGAACAGGAGTACTCATTTTCACAATTCTCACGGAATTGCACAGAACTGCCATTGCACTGATTTTGTAAGAGATCTTGAACATTCTCATGGAATTGCTATGTTTTTACGATTCAACGAATAAGAATAACATCTCAATTTAGTCTAAAAAAGATTACTCCTTTCATTGCCTTAATATAAAAGCATAGGAAAGAAACGCAAATTGTTGTACAATAAATCAACAATGCATTCATGCGCCATTGTAGCTTCTCCCACAAACAATTTCACTGGCTAACTGCACGCAAACGCAACGTTGCCTGTTGTCGCCTCATATAATGCGGAAACGGGAGCAGTAACATTTCAGCAAAGTTTTTAAAATAAGTTCGAACATTATGTGATGCTTTTCACTAAAAACTGATCTAGGAACAGATTTTTAATAAAAAATGTACACATTTCAATCATGCAATGATAAAGTCAAAAATCTTAAACCAACGATCTCAGTTCATATCAAAACTTGATTTTTCTCTATAAAGGGTAATGTAATTAATCTTATTCACAGTTCATTTTCAGTAGGTATTCAATAACATCGTTCTAATAAATCTAATAAGATAAGATTTCAAAAAGGTTTTCCAATGATGTACATAACGAAATTTATGTCGGGAAAAATGAATACTTGTAATCCATTGGAATAATTTTATTTAGTTAGCCGTGCATGCCATGATCTTGAAATCTTAAGCGGACGTATAAACTCTTGTTTAATTAAATAGTGCAAACCCTGCCAAACTTCGTTCAATGAAGGACCGATATCGCGCAAGGTGAATGACATCGGGTTCGATATGACGTAGCAAATGGTAGCATGCATCACCTTCAAAGCGAAAGCATAGCAGCCAGTTAGATCAATTAAAATCAGTTAATCAGTTTTCGGATATTACATCAATTCAGATGTATATTAATTTACAGTCTATTCTATAATCGTTTAATCATTTAATATATTCATTAAATAAATTCGTTGGTGTACATAAAATTAACTCGGCCCTTCATCTTTATTTTAAATTTAGGTCGTGAAGCGGCATAGAACTCCTCTGACTCAAAACACCATCCAAGACAATAAATTGCGCATTTCTAATTGTCGGACTAAGAGCGTAAGGTCTAAAGACTTGGCCACAATGGATGAGTCGGTCCATTAATGGGCAGGGTGAGAGGTCCTGGTTCCCGGGCTGTTGGTGGAGAGTGGATCATGGTGAAACTGAAGCGAATAGGATACTACGGATGGGAGACGGGAGTAGGAAGGAGACGGAACAACCACAAAGGCGCAGCAATCATCCGTCCCCGTACTTCATCGCTACATCACCAACCATCTTCTCCAAATCATCAACCGGCCCCCCCGAATAATGAAAAAAATCTGCACTGACTGCTGTCAGAGCATTGTAATCACTGCCCTTGCCTTGGTACTTTTTCTTGGAATTTCCATTGGAAGGATTGACAACAATCAGATGCTAACAATGTACAGTCAAGTATGGGTCATGGGTCATAAGGATTTTAACGTATTCGGACCTATTTTACGTAAAATGCAGGAAAATTTACCTTTACCTTAGCTGGTCATTTCCTACGCAACCTTAAAATATCAAGATATTTGACAATACTGTCTTCTATCAGCATAAAAATAGCATTTTAATGCATAATTTCCTTATAAATATCCAATTAGAATATTAATTTACATATTTGTTCAGAAAATCGGCAAATATAGATACACATCGTTTCCAGCATCGATATGTTTCGTAAACTTTGTTCATAAGTATTTCTTAACTAGCTATGCTGTCATACTGGATCACTCCAATCCTGATGCTTCCGTGTTTGCCAAGAAGTAATTTTTACTTGCAAATTTCAACGTGCATGTATATTTTGGTACAGTTTTGGTCGGTACAGTTTTGAGTACCATGATTTGAACTCTTGAGTTGTGGGTTCAATCCCAGCTACCTGCTACAGGTCTAGTCAAGTAGGTGAGGTAGCCAAACAATTAAGCACATCAAAACTGGAGCGTGCGGAGTGAGTTTCATGCTCAAAACGGCAACTAGCTGTAAATATTCTGTGAAATTAAGAATTGGAGACTAGTCTAATGGTCTAACGGGCACCGAAACCAATATACTATGTACTATAAGTATAATATAGTTTTGTTCAAATAATAGAGATCCTAATGAGATGAGTGCAAACAATATTTATTGATGGTCCAATTTTAAAATTGTTTATGCATCTATTGATGTTTCCTCATTCGATAATAAAGGGCTCAAATAAAAAGCATGAGATAAAGACAGACTGACTAAAGTGTCCTATCAACATAATGTAAACAACATTTAAAAGCTATATCATTTCAGCATTCAAATGGTCTGAAACATCTCTCATGGATCACGTAAACAAAAGTCATGTTTTAATGTTTAAATGTATGTCCATACTGAGTTATAAATAGAGAAACTCCTTAGTGTTATTGTTGATTATAGCTATTCAAATATTCTATGCATTTTTTGCAATGATTTATTACGTAAAATATGCACAAATGCAATTTTCACAAATATGGTAACACATTACGACTCGGACAACTTACCAACGCATGTAGGTAAGGTAGATATTGCATTCAATGTGTTGAGTGATGACGCAACTTTTAGCAACAAGTTATAAAAATTCTTTTCATTGTAAAATATGATCAAGCCAACAAGTGTTATGGTGGGCACTTCACTGGAAGCATCTCCTGTAAAGCAATGACAGTTACGAAACACAAGAAAATAAAAAATGATGAACAAACCTATATTTCCTTTCATGTTCAGAAGAACTTAAATGTGCTACCAAACTGTAGACAGTAAACAAAACAATATGCTGGGCAGAAATAATGATGGAGTTTTTCTTAACCAAAGCCGCAGCTACGTTGCTTATCGCTGGGCCGCTTCAAATAAATGCCTTCACCTTCCACTGCTGCCATTTTGATAGAATGTATTATTTTAGCCAATTGAAGCAGTGAGTTGGGTGTTTGAGACCTGCAACAAGCTGTAAATATTTCTGCGATGCTAAGAATTGGCAACAGGTCTAATGGCCTAATGAACGCTGACACTGATATACATCTTATACGCAAATTTATATATCTTTTACATCTCGGTGTTATAAATTCTACATTCGGTACATCACTATAATGTTGGTTTGTCTTGTATATATTTCTAATGCTAAAGTTATCTTTGTTTAGAGAATAGAGCCAAGGCCCCATCCTTGCTTTGTAATGATCGTGACAGAGATGACCCGGAAAAACTGCTCGCCTCAGAAGCTAGACACAGCAGAGGCTGACCTGGCAATGCATCTCTCAGAGGTGTCTGACTGGTCCAATTCCAAAAAGCTGACTATGCCCAGGGACAATCCTCCAACACTCTTTTCTCTTCAGACACCCACCTATCTTTCACACATCTGTCTGCCTAAATCGGAAATAGCCTCATTTCCTTGGATACACCTACAAAATCCTGGGAGTCCCCTGGGAAAGTGAGATACTACTTGTTACACCTTTGCTTCCATCTATGTAGAATCATATGGCGCCCTGGCGGGCGCCAACTGGAGCTTCTCAGAGGAAGATATTGCCTCATTTAGAACCATCACACAACCAATCATAAACTACACAGCTCCCATCTGGCACCCCATTACATCTCACACTGATGTGGCAAGTCTACAAATGATATAGAACTTGGCTTTGAGAATAGTGTCTGGATGCCTCAAGATAACCTCTGTCAAACACCTCCATACCAAGACAGGAATCCTTTCCTTGTCATCTCATCTGGACCTTGCATGTGCGCAGTTCCATGGCTAGCGCTTCCCAGCCCTGCCACTCCTATCCTGTTGTCTCCACTCCTCCTGGAGTTTTGGAGTGGATTTATGCCCTATCCATATTTAGCCACCTAGTGGCCCCTGTCCTATACAATGGTACCTATCTTGCCTGCGCAGCTTACTCTCTGCTGGGAGATGTCTGCATCTGCTAGCATTAATGAAACCTTGGAATAAACAAGTTACTGGCTGCCTTGCTGCCTCTCATTTCTTGGCTTTTCCTCCCCACCACTCAGTGCTGGCTCAGCTTTTCATGGGCCACTGCAACTCCCTTGGCATCCTACACCTTCAGGGTTGGACATACTCTTAGGGCCCCTGCCCTGAGTGTGGGGTTCCCCTTCAGTCTACACTGCATCTTTTTGCCTGTACATACATGTTTTTCTATAACCCTCAGCATCTCCTCAGTGCTAGATAACTCGGTGGAGGCTGTGGCCTTTTTGGCCACCCTCCATACCTTTGCTCAATATTTCTTTGACCTCTTTTCAATATTTTGACACTATTGTGTAATGTGTGAATTTAATGCGGTAAATTTATAGTTGAGACACTTATCTTGTAAAGTTTTATTATTTTTATCGAATATCAACTATGAGTTTTCACCCATGTTTCTGATTATAGGTCTTTTATTAATAAGTTTCTGTTGTTTACAGATAATATTTTAGGAAATTAGAGGTGCTTAAGGGTAATTAGTCATTTCCCACAATGAGTGGAGGAGATGGAGAAGAGAACCAGAAGTGGCCATGCAATTTGTGCACTTACCTCAACTACCAGAGTGCACATCGCTGCACTATGTGCGGCTCCTCTCGTCCTGTACAACAAATCATCCCAACTAACCAGAGCAGCTCGTTTGATACTGACCCTCTTCCCTCTGCACCTTCTCCTCCTCCTAGGCCACATGACTCAGGTATTATTATTCTTAAAAAACTCGTTTTTTGATTCCCGACAGAGCATCTTCTGATGCCTGACAGAGATTTATTTTGCCCTAAACTACTATTTTCTTATGGATGCTACTGATGTTAGAAGATTAGTGTTATAGCACTGAACTTGATGTTATGTTTATTAATAATACATGATAATTTTTTGTACCTCATTTTGGTATATTGAATCCTAACGATTGCTTCTTACAGGAGGAGAGAAGTGGGCATGCACGCGTTGCACGTACCTCAACTACCCTCGAGCAATCCGCTGCTCCCAGTGCTCTAGTCAGAAGAACAGCTGCAGTGTAAGCCCTACTGACATCCGAGATGATGCCTTTGGTGCACACTCACCTCCTTCACAGCAAACGTCAAGAGCTACTATGTCTCCACAGTCTTCTTCTCCTACGTTCAAAATCAGTCTTGGATCCCCTACTAAGGTCGTGCATTCTCCCTCCCATAAGGCTCGTCTGTCTCCTCCTCTCAAGTCACGGCAGTCTCCACCATCTAAATCGCGACAATCGCCATCTCTCAAATCTCGCCAGTCACCTCCTCTAAAGCTCCATCAATCATCTCCTAAAGGACGTCGGTCGCCCCCGAGACAAGGCTCTCCAAAACAGGGGCCCAAGACTCCCAATTCTAAGTCAAGGGTCAATCATGAAACACAAACGAGTCCAAGTGGCATTCCCTCGCCAGAGCAGCAGTGCACACTGCAACACAAATGGTGCTGCCCCGCGTGCACTTACGAGAACTGGCCGAGATCTGTTCGCTGTATCATGTGCACCACTCCAAAAACTGCTCTGTCTCGAGACCTTGATGGCAGCAAACATAACGTGCCCGTTCCTCCCAATGGCAGTTATGAGACTTCAAAGAGCAGGCTTGGCTGCTCAGGGACAACATCCACCTCTGAATCCCAGACGGACGCCGAGTTTGAGTCCACTGGTAATAGTGCTGAATCTCAGTGTATAGAAAATCACGATTTAGGCAATGATGTAAATACGCCAAACAGTAGAAATCAAAAATCTACCGAGGGCTCTCTTGCCCTCACTGATATCTCTAAAACTTGTGAGAGTATAAATATCATTAATAAAAACCGCAGTGAGCTGGTGCTTGAAAAACAATCTAATAGACAGGAATCTTCTAAGTCTTCCTCTGGGAAGCCGTCATGTATAAATGATGCTTCCGCCATTAAAAGCAGCGACTACACCATCACTACCACAGCTTCATCACCCACTCATACAGCTGGATCTCACTCGTCGTCGGCTGGAAATAAAATATTATTTAGCACAGATCCAAACAATGGTTGTAGTTGCATCACTTCTAATGAGAAGGATGCATCATTGTGTAAAGTTAATGCGAATGAGATCTGTGTTGGAGCATCTGCTGTAGCAGTCAGTGGTGACGCGGGCGTCCGAGGTAGAGCCAACGAAGGGGCCATAGCACTAAATAACTATGAAACAGAACGGCTCTTGCGACAACTTCGACGGAGATTACGAGATGCAGATTTGGCGTTTTTAAACGCTTGTCTGGCAGTGGTTGAAGGAAACTATGAACCTGTTGAGCGATACTTATCTGCTGGAGGTGATCCTATGAGGAAACTTACTAGCACCGATATCAAGCTACTAGCACGCCCTTCTGCTTTTGACGAGGGACACACGCTGGTTCACTTAGCCATCAGGTAAGATCAATAAGTCTGGCGTTAAAAGTAAGTTTTCTCTGTCCTTACTTACCATCATCTCAACTTGTCTTAGATTCCGTGGAAGTGAAAGATGAATTGCGTAATCATTAGCTTAGTACAATTATCCGCTCAAACTAGCTGTATATGATGCTAGAAATTTGTTAGCACTCTTACTACGGTATGTTTAATTTAAGCAAATTTTATGAGTGTTGTCCGTAAAGAAATTTCTTAGTAACATATGTGGATTTTTCGAATCTCCAATAAGTGAAATGTTTGTGAAATCTCCACGTTTGAAATGCTTTGCCAATGTCAATGAACATACTATATTTGGACACATCGGCCTAGGAAACTAAACAGTGCAAACTTCATGCAGGTTTGGAAGAGAAGATCTGCTCGATACGATCCTATCTGGCATCCATGGTGGCGGTTGTGGAGCAAAAAGAGTGCCTTGTTTCGTGGCTCCTGAGTTGGCTACAGATATCCGACGCAGCATCGCTGCCTCCCTGCGCCAGCGGAGAGAGGCTTTCCCTTGCTACTGCGTGTCTGAGTTTGTCACCTACTCCCTACCTCCTGGTGAAGAAATATCTTCTTTGCTACTCTTTGACCACATGTTTATTCTTGTACTTTGACCATTTGTTTATTGTCAACGATCATGATTTTTTTTTGTTATCTATCCATAAACATAAATAATACTAATTTTTGGTTTACTGCAATGCGAGCACGAACACCAAATTAGCAATGCAAAATATTATATTGTATTGTTTAGTTTAATTTTTACGAAAGTACATCTTAGCATGCGACCATCTTCCCGGTTATCGAGACCCTTTCATCTCAACGACCGCCGTATTTTTTTTTGTTGTTGGTAATAAAATTATTCGGACAAAAGGCATTTTCTATTACGGCTGTCCCTGGAGAATGAATTAAGTGCGCTTAATGAGATTAAGCTAAATCGCGAATAAAAATCACCTACTATGATTTAAATTTAAGTGCTCTTCTTTTGCATTACAAGTTTTCAGCTAAACCCCTAATTATAACAATGGCGTTCACGACAAACACATAGATTCTGCTGCTAATATTGTTCAGCACCAAACCTAAGGCTCAAAATAACATGGTATTCTTTCTGCACCATAGACCTTATATTCATTTATGTTGCTCTCCACAGAGATCGAGCACCTTGGCAGCACTAGCGTGCAGGATCGGCTGTGGGACGAGCTACTGGACCGAGACGTTCAGAAGCAGTTAGAGGAAGATGCGCCCATCATCAACTGGTCACTGGAGCTCACAGAAAGACTTGGCTCCCGCCTCTACGCCCTCTGGAACAGGACGGCTGGTATATATACAGTCTTTGCGGAGTGTTTTGTAATTTGTTGGTGCATTCAACATACTATTATTTTCTTCGCCTCATCACAGCGTCGAATTGATATTGTATTTTCTATAAAAAACCGTAATTTGTCAATAATTTCCTGTAGGCCTATAGGGTAGACAATTGAAGTTTCAACTAGTTTTTATTTCGAAAAGTCATGCTAAAATTTAATTATATATTCGTTCTATTGATTATACGTCATTTTTGTTTATATTTATTTTCTGTTGCATGGTTCAACTTCCTGTCAAGTAGGTTTTAAATCGCATACATTAAAAAAAATCTTCATGAATGCGTTAACACGTTGACTACGATTGCTTCATCTTATACTATTATTTCATTTTTTGTACTTTTTTTAAGCAGGGTTGCCAGACGGTCATTTTTTTTCGGACAAATTCCGTGATATAGTTTTTCTCAATTGCGTTGGCCGGCTAAAAAAATTTATGATAGGGGTACTTCCTTTCCTAATTAAATTTTAAATACTGCAAAAAGAAAACAAATGGAATTTTTACAGCGGAACCTACAAATAAACTAGTATACATTGAATTATCGGCCTTTTTTCTTCTCGGATTTGGCCGATTTTAGGCAACCTGAATTGTGTACCACTACCTCCTGGAGAAATACATATCGTGGTACGCATATGTACCAATACGTAGTCAACGTGTTAAAAGTGTTATCCTCCATTTTAAAAATTTAACCTAATGAAATACCTTTCTTCTACGCTTAGTGCGGATTTCTTGAATCTTGTATAGGGGACTGTCTGCTGGACTCTGTGTTACAAGCCACGTGGGGCGTGTTCGACCGAGACAACTGCTTGCGACACGCCCTCGCTGCCTCCATCACGGACGCCTCGCATCTCCTCTACCCGCGCTGGAAAGAGTACGAGAGGCTGCAAGCTCGCATGCTCGATTACGCTGTTCCTGAGAACCAGGTGAGAACTTTGATGTTTTTTTAGTTCATGCCTAAAGAAAGTAAGAATGTATTTCTAGTTATCGCGACAATTAGTTATCTCCTTTCGACATTGTTAACACTTACTTGCTCCCGTTTTAATCACGTATTAAATTTCAATCAGATCCACCAAACAAATAGACATGAAAAATAAAATATACTCAAGCCAATGACGAAATTTTTCAATCTAGTTGGTGCTACCATATCGGAGCTTTCGCTTTAGTTAAGAACACATCAGGTTAAACCTGACTATCTTTTAGTTTCCATTGCTCAGTAATTGTTGAACTTGACATTCCGCCTAAGTGTGTTGAATGTTCGATTATGTTTAGTATAAAGATGTTTGGTGTAAAGTACAATAACGGAATTGTTCAAAAATTTTCCATAACTCAGCATGTAACGGTATGTGTTGAGTTTCCTGAGAATTAAACAAATATCAACAAATCTCGGTATATTTTGAACGTTGCCACGATTATCGGCAGGTACTGGAGGAATGGGCCGAGCTGGTGTGCCTTGCATCGCAGCCTGGAGCAGCATTAGACCAACTTCACATTTTCGTCTTGGCGCATATTTTACGCAGGCCCATAATCGTGTACGGTGTCAAGTGCGTCAAAAGCTTCAGAGGCGAAGACTTGGGCTTCGCCAGGTAGGTCCTGTGCACGGGCACTTGCTGCTACTTTATACGTCGTCAGTGTCAATACAACGACTAATGGATAACTCCTATGTATCTTGTTTACCATTTGTGCTACTAGTTTTAAACTTGGAAAATTGTCTTCCATATGAAACTAGGCAGCTCGATGTCATACTTTAAATTTAGTAAACTTATATATACTAAGTTGTAGTTTAATAATATGCCTATGCGATGTGCGGCTACAATTATTTTCAGTACTGCAGTGCGATAATGATAATTATGACGACTTGATTATAAAATCATGAACGTTCTACTCATATATTCATTTTATCGCATAAAATGGAATGTGGATTAATACAGATATGCTTTCTACAACCAAAGGTAATGTAACATCGTTGCAGCCTTTGTAAGAAGGCTTTGGGTTCCACTTGCTTGAGACTCTTTAAACACTGTGGCCGGTCTAATCGCAACTTGTTGTCAAAGTTGAAGATCGAGTCGCTTTCCTTAATCACGCGCCTATGTGCATTATTACATCATCAAATTTTAGGTCTAAGTAAGCTCCATCGCTCACCTATGTTTGAGCAGATTCGAAGGTGTTTACTTGCCTTTCTTGTGGGATGCGAGTTTCTGCTGCAAGTCCCCTATAGCCTTGGGCTATACGCGCGGCCACTTTTGTGCTCTCGTGCCCATCTGCCCTCAGTCCTTGCCAGCGTCTGCAGCTGGTGAGAGATTTTCTAACAATTTCTTTTGAAATCTGCATATTTATTGGCTGTCACTTGCGTTTCAATGCACTTCGGTAATACTCATTATTATTACATCGAAATATCGTTGATCGCTCACACGTTAAAGCTATCGGCAAGTCTCTAGTTGTATACGTGTACTAATAAGCATTATTATTAGTGTAAGTAGTAGATAATTGGTGTCAAAACCATTTAAATTATTTAAATTTGTGAAACGCTTTAGATTAAATCCATTTTTTGATTAGCTTTATAGTCAATGTAGTGTGATTGCAGTACAAATTGAGATCTAAAGTGTGGCAAGCGAACGACAGCGCAATTATCGGACCATGATCATTACATTACGACTACGAAAGTCTCATCAATGCCGAAAAATATTACATGCTTGAAATGCATTTATTTGTCAAACAGGTGCCATCTTGGACCCAGGAGAGTCTCAACTCGTGTTTCTTCCTCTGATGAGTAGCGACGGCAAGCTTCTGCCCGTCCATTTCCTTTCTCAAGCCGAGGTGAGCGTCAATACAAGCTTCTGTAGTGAAGTGTTCCCTCTGCTTTAATTTGCTGTTATTGCGATAGTTTTATTGTGTACGTTCGAATTTACAACTCTGCTCCCGTGTCGCCGCGCTCTTGCTTCGCACTTCAACCCAGTCACTCTTAAAGTCTATGTAGTTGAATTTACAAAGCTCATTGGCACTCATGAGCATTCCACTAAAAAATAAATATAATTCAGGTTGAGAAGTATTTCAGTATTTGGCATGACGTTTTATTGTACAGGTGGGATGCGAGGCCGGGCTGTTAAGAGAGTGGCTGGAAGTATGTCAGAGCGACACTGGGCTTCTCGTGGCACAGCAGAAACTTCACAAGAAGCCTCTTCCTGTGGCTCAGATGACGGAGGAGTGGCTCAACTATTATCGCACCATGGCGTGAGTGGCTTACTTATTTCTTAAAATTATTTCTTTTCACAAGTTGTGCTGCTGCTCTGCATTTCTCTTCCTAGAATTTTTAAAAGTTTTACATATTTGAACCGTTCATTGCAGTCGTAATCTGATCATTGATTGTGAAGGGCTCATAAGAAATAATCCATTCTGAATCTCTAACCCTGTTCCAATGTCGTTATGTCCTCTCAGAAACTCCAAGACATGAATTCAGTAACCATTGTTTATAATTGTATTCATATGCACGATCTATTTTTCAGAAATTACGCATTCATACCTCTACATTAACTCCTACAACAGTTGTTTGCGTCCTTAGGAATAAAAATGTTAGCTGACACAATTATAATGTGTAGCATATCCGTCAATTTTCATCGCTATTATCAATAAGAGAAAGCCCTAGGTATTTTGGTAACCAATGAGATACCCTTTTTATGATGGTTTTGTTACAACGATCGTCTTGATAACTTTGCCCGTTCCTGTATTTACTATTGAGCGCACGACATATCGTTGATCGCTCACACCTCACTTGAAGCACTTTCTCATTAATTGGCGAAATAATTTTAAGTGTGCTTTTAATTAAATGCACCTGTTATTTTTAAGGCAAATGGAAGGCGCTCCCTTCGCTCGTCCAGTTACTACTCAAAACTACTCAAGTGACGGCGACTCGGAGGAAGAATGACAACTGAGCTGTTCTTCCTTGCGCACTTCAAGGAGTCGGAGGGTGGAGTAATGTAAACACAGATCAATTCACTCATTTCCTGCGGGAAGTCCATTTGGCTCTATATGGATGATTGTATTACCAAAATCTGCATTCATTTAGCCATTGTTTGAAATTATTATAGTATTTTGGTAAATGAATGACAGGGAACAAAAATACTAGAGAATCTCATACTAAGTTCTACCTCCTGAAAACAAATAGAAACCGCCTGCCGCAAATAGAGTTAACATGGAGCCGTCGTGACGCTCATCGTCAAGTGCTGTGTTAGCTTGATGTTTTTCAGCTATGTGCTTAAGATGTCTTACGCGCTCAGAATTGTCACTCGGCTCTTGTCTTGTCGACGAATGTTTTGATTCCAGCGTTTCACCAATCCTGCCAAACTGTTCTTTGTGCTCAGCATTAGTAAAAAAAATTGAATCAAATATCATCTCTGTTCAGGAGAATCCTGCTGAGCTTTGGCGCCAAGCTAGAAATAGCCAGTTTCAATAAATGCCGCATTCAATCCTTCTGAATAAATGTCAATCTCTTCCCGGAAGAAAATTTGATAATGCCAAGTGGAAAATAATCTTTATGGTTGTCGGAATTTCGAAATTAATTATTATATACCGTTTCGTGCGAGTACTACGTACAATATTTCTAGCAGTGTTTGCCTATAGAGTACAAATTTTTAACTCGCTTTCTTCACCGCCAATCTGTATCTTATTTTCAATACCTTCATACAAATCGCACTATGCTTAATTCGTGAGAAAAATTCTTTTGTTAATTCATTTTTTTATCATCGCGATTCTGGTCCATGAATCTGCCACCGTAATAAGTAATAAAGGTAGAATCCATTCGTAGTTAATTCCCGTAAGTGTAGTTTGATTTTAGTGTCAATTTATGATCATAGCAGTTCGTTTAATATTGTAATTTACTTGTAATTAGCCTGGGATTTGGATGCTTTTGCCGGTCCAAAACCTCTTTCACGGTAGACTTTTGGACATTTTGTCGGTGTTGAGACGTAGCTATGGGCCTATTGTGCTTCTTTGTTCGACACTGACGGTGTTCTGTGATATTAAGAGCAGCTGACTGACGTGACATTATTTACCAATGACACTACGGCAAGGCATGGCTCTGGATTATTCAAAAACACCACGACTGTTGTCTTAAATTAGTCATTTTTGCTTTTACGCGTGTAAGGGGTATAGATGATGCAATAAATTGAGAGAGCCGTTTAATGATATTTTGGTCATTTGTTTAGCGTTTTGATGGGTCTGTATTCGACGCAGTGGCGATCCCGTGCCGCCTCAATCTCAGTGTGCAATCATATGTGTCAAATAATTTCTATGCTGTTCTTGCTAACGTAACAGACTAAGTATTTCCGTCACTCAGTTTTCAGGCGTGTATTATTTTAAGGTCATACTCACTTTACTTGACGTGCAAATCTACCTTGCTACCCACATTTCGCGTTGCATGCGATGTTTTTCACCAGCCAAATGGCAACACTCGCCAAGCTTTAATTCTGTGATATAATTGAGCTCGTACAGATGAAATGTACCTTCACTATGGAACTTTTTTTTCTTGCACAATTTATACGTGTATCTTGTTCACTTAGTTTTCCTTACGTATTTATTATGTTGAGCTTTTGGTAGCTACAGAAGCCTAGTAATCGCATCACGGGGGCTCATTTATTTTTCGCGTGACCTGAATGTCTACTTATCCAGCTGGGCTTTAATGCACTTGAATATTGAACTTGACTTCTTGTCTGCTGCTATAAAATCACTTCTTACGATGCGAATAATGCTGAATTAGTCTGTTCGGTGTTCCAGTTTATTAAATCGAGGGAAAAAATACAGCAGAGTTTTCAGTTTCTGACTATGGGATCATTCAGAAAACTGCCGTTTGTGATTCAAGATATCAATGGAGGCAAATCTGGTACTTTACCCTCTACCGCCGTATGTCACTCTCTGGGAAGATGACTTTCAAATTAAATTGTACGAAACTATTGAGTGTAACAACCTGAGGTTTGTACGTAACAGAGAAAATGTCAAAGTTGTCGTACGTGGCGGCAACCATCAGTGCAAGTCATTTTGCGCTCACTGGAACGTATACTTTTTTGGGAGCAGGCTTGTGACAATATTGCTCCGGTTGCTAATGTCAGGCGGTAGAGGGTCAACAAAAGTTTTCATCTCCGATGGCCGTTAGATTTGTTATTGTTGATATCTGAAAGAGTTCTTCGTGAATTAACATTTATACGACTATACTCTAAGCTGACAAGTTGTTAATCGTTTTAAAGGTTTATAATTAGAGAACCCTGTAGTCGCCTTCCCGTAGCTCGCACGAAACCGATGACTTATTTTGCAGATCTCTAATATTTAAGGCCTATCTTGTAAAAAATGAGTGGTTAGCCATGTGGTCTACGGTACAGGCTGCCGTAACTACAGGCCTGTACTGAGAATATGGAAATAAGTAAAAATTACAAATTTGTTTTCATTTTCACCATTAATTAGGTTAGCTCATTTCAATTGTCAACATATCGCCGTGATATCCAAATGTGATTCGAGTTGGAATATAATTATGACACGTATATCAATTATAGATGAAGTTTATCTATCTATCTCAACATCGAGCAGGCCGGAGATCGCATCCGTATATGCATTAAAAACCATCTTGATACCCAGTACATTCGAGTTCGAGCCTGCGAACTAAATCTTTTATCCAAGTAAATGACGGGGAACAAATCAAAGAAACAATTACTTCACGCGTGTATTGGATACCAATGAGTGCAAAAAAGTACGCTGAGTAGACGGTCGGCACGAGGACAATTTAATCTTACCAGCCAGCCACCAACAGAGTCGGAACGTCCAACATCTATGACGGCAGCGGCCATTACGCAACTGCAGCGCCGCCATCGCACTATCAGCACCGAACATGCGCGGCTATGTCCAGGACTCGGCCTTACATAGGCTTCTTCCTAAACGAGCAACCTGCATAGAAAATGAGATTATTTAATGTATTTAATGTTTTCCATTCTGTTTGCAATATATTTCAATTAGACAAATCAATCACAGTTGCTTGTTGCACTGATGTTTAAGATAAATATATAAATCCTCCGGATGAGATTTGATAGCCAAATTTTCATAAGGAAATATGGAAACTAACATCATTAGAGGATTCACTGCTAAAGCTATCTTTTCAACTGTTGATTTTGACCTCTCGGCCCAGTCGGTCAAATCAAGATTGCCATCTGAAGGATTGAAGTAGTTAAATAAATATAGAAAATAAAATTTATCAACACCTAGTATTTTTCACAAAAATAAGTTAAAAATCGTGCATTTAATTGATCTGTCCTCACCATCGGTGAGGCGAGCTCTTCCTCCAGTGGGCTGGCACAAAACATTACTACAGCCTTTGCAGAGCACAACACTCTGAGCATGTGAAAAGACGTAGCTGATTTTGAAGCATCCTGCAAAGAAAAAAATTAATAATGAATAAATATCATATATGGAGTCACATATCATTTGTTACGAAGCATTGATGTCATGCATCTATTAGAAGAAGTGAAACGAACTAATTCTGGTCAATATCTATCGATTCAATCGCATAAGTATTGAGAATCACTAATCATCAAACAAAATATGAAAGGTTCAACAAATATTCAGTGGGGTATTACCAGGGCACTTGACATCCATGAAGAAGGAGTTGGGATGAGGAACAAGCCGCTTTAGCTTGCAGGTTCTCTTCCATTCCTCTTTGCTGGGGTTCAACAGATCCTTGGCGAGCTGAAATAAAGTTTTAATAAGTTGACAGTAGAACGAAAGTGATTGATCACAATAAGTAACTTGACTGATCAATTGGTACATTGATACTGCATTATACAAATACTTCTTGCAGAGCCACAGAAATTCATCAAGCACAATTCTGAGCTGCAGATAAAAAAAATTTTTGTTAAAATTTAAAGGATGAAAGAAAAAAATTTTATGAGAAAACAGTGGGATGAACAGATAGCAATTATCATTGACTAGTTGACAGTCCTCTGTGAGTAAGATTGAGAATCGGAAAAGTTTTTGGACAATGGGCAGAAGTAGATGGGGAAAATGGTCATTGATGCAATAAAGTAAATAAAAATTATCTGAATGCATAATACTCCAGTCCTACAGGAGATGGTCCTCTCCTCTAAAAACATATAAACTAAACTAATTTCACATAACTTTAGAAGAAATAAACTCAGCACTTTGAAATTTTTATAAAAATCTGAGCCTTCCGCTACTCAACATGCCCCACAATTTCCATTCTTCTATTGCTGGTTGGTTTTTACCTGAGAAGCGAAATTGCACAAAATGGGAAAGAAACATGTACTTGCAAAAAAAAAATTTCATTAGGCTGCAAAACTTGAAAATAATTATTCAAGTGCAGCATATGTTTAAAATAGTACGTACCTAGAGGATTTGATATTTTTCTTAATTATCAGCCTCTCATTCATGTATGTTATAATGTTAATCCAAAATATAAACTGGTAACTTTTGACACACTTTTTCAGTCTTGATTAATGGACTTGATAGGATTAAATAAATTTAAAACAATCTATTCTTAAAAAGTATAATGTACATGAAAGCCATCAACATTTAACAAGTTTTTTGAAGAACCAATGTGGGTGCTTGCATGCTCCACTTCAATACACTACAGTAGGCAGATAAGAGCAACTTTAATGGTATATCTCTCAATTCTGTAGCTTCAAAACTGTAGGGGATAGGTTGAATGCTCATAAAGTTCGAGCATTCTGGACAGCTGACAATCCCCCAACCAATTCCGGCATGCTATATATAGGCATTTATTGTAGCCAGGATACTAAAGTAAGGCAATATTTCAGTTGGAAGCCAGCCACAGATGCAGAGGACTGCATGAGCACCTTCCCAAGGATAGCTTGGGGGCATGGTTTGATTAGTATAAGGTTGATCAATGAGAAGCTCATTTTTGTAGATGTAGCTTGACGTTTGCCTGTAACATCACTTATCTCAGTGACGTCACAGGCATTAACCAATCACCAAAATGCAATCAAACCAGTTGACCAATCCATCCTGGGAATGAAGGGATTGTTTATGTTTTTCAATCTAAGTGACATAACAAGAAAGCTGAACTGAAAGAACTCATGGGTCAGACTTCATCTAAACTCCTTGTGGGTCAACCTTATATAGTTCAACCATGGCTTGGGGTTAACTGAAGCTCAATGCCAAGAGAGCGTACTTTATATGTGCTGGCAGCTAATTCCCCCCCATAGACATTTGTTAAGACATTGACACAACCTAAATCTTTCACAATCTGTCATGAACGCATAAATCAACATACAGAGATGATTTTGGTACCGTTGGATAGGTCAGAATTGCAGCTTTAAGATGAGCATGAAAACATGAAAAGCCAAAAATTACAATTTTTTACCTAGGCGCTACCCTCAAGGGGAGCATCTACATCTATAGGTACCAAAAAAGAAAAAAACTTTTATTTATGGACAGAGCATTTTGAAACACAGTTAAAATGAAAATTTAAGACTTTTTGTTCAAGTAAATTTTTCAGAGAAGTGAAAGGAAATTTGAAACTCACAGAAAATGGCAAAAGAGTGGGGGGGGGGGGGTACTGTAAAAATCTATCTCCTCCTAGGATTTTCAAACTAAAACATCAAGAGACATGTCATTTGATGCATTAAGACCATGTCCAAAGATCCTTCAGTTTTTTGTAATTAGTTTATTTTTCTGATTTTTTTTTTTTCAATTTTGAACCCTCCCTCCCTTTCTTTCAATATATAATCAAAACAAAAAATTAATAAAAAAATTACCAGAGGACCTCTACAAATTTTTTTACTAATTGAATGGTTCATTTCTCAATGCTATAGCTTGAAAATCATAGTAGGAGATAGTTTTTCAAGATGAAAATTCCAACGTTTCAGGAGAGCCAAAAAACTGAAATTTGTGATCAATTTGTGGGCTCTTTAGATGTGCAGTTTCTGGACCTTTAAAATGAGCCTAAAAACCGGAGTAACAATTTTCAATTTTTTGCCAAGACACTTCCCCTAAGATCACATAATTGAAATAGGCATGAAATCTTACATTTATATTGCAATGTATTTTAATTTTTTTTTCAAGAAAATAGTGGTTCACCAATGTGTCATTTCCTGATATTGAAAACTTTTGTGGTTCAGTACCAGGCTCCCATCAAAATATCCTGCATAAAAGCAGCATAATGAGGGTACCCAAAATGCTTCATTGATGAACACATAGTCAGGGCTAAAAAAGTTCCATTTTTTCTGAAATATCACAACTCCAATATCATAATTACAGTAGAATTAGATATGAAATTTCACAGCTTTAATGTCATAATTTTTTGTCTGCACTTTGCAAACATGTCATTTTATAAAATTTTCAACTTCCACAATCCGCAGTATACATACTTCAATGCTCCTGCGGGCCTTCTGCCAAAATAACAAGCAGAACGTAATAACAACAACTTATTAAGTCAACACAAAACGTTCCCTTGAATATAGCATAGTTGTGGTCATGTCAGAGCAGTTAGACTGCATTATCACTTGTTCAGTTGCTGCTTAAGGCAAGACAAATGTTAGCGCCTGATTTTAGGGTAAAATTTAGAGATGTGGAGGTAACTCATGCATGGGACTTTGTAAATAATAAGTTCACAGCTTGTAAATAGCTTTACACAGCCGAGATATGGAATCCACAGCTCAAAGAAATGGAGTCACGGCTGGCGAACCCGTAAAACAATGGCTCAAAAAATCCAGTCCCTGCTTGCCAAGTAGGCCTAGCTATTTTCCATGCCTGCACATAGTTGCAATCACATGAGACTGCAATATAGCTAACTGCATTGTTTCTTCAACAAAATTCTGTAACATAACATGTTCAAATTTCAATTGTCTCTAGCTTGATGAAAATATTTCATGAACATTTCAACTTCAAGGTTAAAGTTAGAGATATGGATGGGGTAACCGGGGATCGGGTAACACGAGTGCATGCAAACTGCAAAGTTATGTGTATGCCCATGCAAATAACTTTACAGCTAATGAATAGCTCTCCAGTCTTCTCCATTTCTCCACGCCTCCACACTCCACAGGCCACAGCCTTGATAAGCATAAGGTATTCATGGGTCAAAAAATCAAATCACAGCTTGGAAATCTATAACACAGTGCCCTCGGAAGCTCTCACATGACAGATGGCTCTGATCAGCTGATGCACTACGCCACTACCTATGTAGGTGCACTGATGCACCAAAAATGATCACTGTGGAAGCTATGGAGCCTCAAAATTTCAGTAATAAATAGGAAAATTTCAATCCTGAAGTGTGCTTTACTGCTTCTTCATATATATTGATATATTACCCTCCTTAATTCCACCTGCATGAAGTAGGCTAGTAGAGTACTAGAATGATTCATAGTGGTTATCACTGATCAACTAAACTTTTTTGTTGACCTTCCTTGTTGAGTCAGCTGCCACTGCATAGTGGCAAAGCAGAGTTTTTTAGACTCTCCCTCAAGCTTGTTTTTGAGTCCTGTACCTATGTAGGTAGGCCAGTTAAGTAGGTATCATGGATACCAGCATTAACTATCATACATAATAGGTAAATTGGTTCAAATCTTGAGTAAATGAGGAAATTAAAAATGAATTGATTCTAAAAAATCTCTGGTTTGCCACTATGGCTGCCAGTCTGCCAAGTGCCACTGTTTCATGCCGGTTTAAGTTTTAACTTTAAGTTTAACGCATGACTTTTTAGTTTTTGAGGCTACTCAAAATTGTTGAGCCATAATGCATAGATATTACCATGACGTTATGCATGCTTTATAAAGGGCATAAAAACTTTGTTAGACTAGTTAATTCATAGCACAATGCACACACGCAAAATGATATAGATTTTTAAATATTTCTAAGTGACTAAGATTCTAAGAAGCAAGATCAATCTCGAAAACTTTGGCAATTGCATGAAACTTCAACATTATCCAAGTGCAGGGCAGCAGGAGCACATAATAAGTACAATAATTAATTTTATAGCACTTTAACGGATAGGTGTTAATATCTATATCACATACCGGCATTGTGAATAGAACTTGTACGGCAGATTTGTATCAAATATCAATGTCGAGCTTGACAGCACTCTTCCACACTACGCGACGAAAACAAACAAGACCGAACTGAGCTGAAGGTTCTTATTATTGCAGCTGTTGCCACATCATACACAAAAAGACTTGCGCTTCATGGTGCAATAGCACTTTGTATTAAAAACATATGTAAGCACGTAAAAAGTAACAACATACGATTAATTAGCTAAATTACCCTCAGAATAGAAATTTAGCAATTATCGTTCGGGGTATCAGTAATTCTAAATAGTTAATGAGTTGAAACCCATTTCTGCCCATATATGAGAATAAATTAATTGTTATTTGAAAAATAAGAGTAGGATTAAACTATCTATCTCGTTTTGCGACATTAGCAGAACATGCAGCACCTGTGTCGCTGCATATTTCGAACTTCGAGAGATGGTCGTAACTTGTGCAATAATTATAATTTAACGACAACGCTGCTGGTCCGCTGGATTGCGCTTAGGTAACTTCTACAAAATTTACATCTTCTACAATCTATTTTTATATTAAAGTCCTGAATGTGTTTTCAAATCGATTAATCTCAATTGTTACCAGAGTATTGACGCACTAGAGAGGCGCGGGTTCGATCCCAGCTCTGTGCGACAGTTTCTAGTCAGAATCGGCAAGGAGGCCGGGCGGTTAAGCACAGCAGAATTGTAGCAGTGCGTTGCAAGTTCGAGACCTCAAAATGCTGTGATTGTTCTGCGATGTTAAGAATCGGCGACAGGCCTACAGCCTAATAAACGCTGAAACCGCTATTATTATTATTAAAAACATTATTTCGTCTTTGTGACGACTCGGGCCAAAGATTAATTTCCGAAATTGTAATTAAACTAAAAGCGCTTAAATTTACCCGTGTAATAGCCAAGACAATTAGACACCATAGGGCATGAATCACAATTTTAATTCATTTTTCGTCATTCTGAATATTTTTTCATGAACCTACAAAGAGTAAAACAAAAGCAGGGCTATTACTCGTTTCAAATTCATCGTGTTAATTCAAACGCAATTCAAGCAGTTATTAGCCTTTAGAAGCTTTTCAACAAAATATTTCCTTATGCGTTAAATTGTCTTAATTACGAGTAACTTCGCTCTCAGAGACATTTCTACAGAAAAAAAAGGACAAGTAACAATGCACTTCCGGGTTTGAGTTTAATAGATGGTATTGCTAACTAAATAATCGAGCAAACTACTAACTTTCTTCATCGTGTGAAAGTTAAATTCTAGAATTGGAAGAAGAAAAAATGCAAATGGTCGACATGAAAGTCGCTTGATTGGCATTGTTTAGAAAAAGTTGCTACTATATGCCTTCATCGTAGTTCTAAACAAGCTTCATACTTGGTCTCTTCAGGAATCTGGACATTCGTATTTTACCACAAAAATTTTACAGTTAGATAAACCGAATTGAAAAGAAATGAACAAATCTATTGTGAAATTTTCTGAGTAAAATATCAAAATTCATCATATTTAAATTCCATTATTCATTTAGTATAAGATTTTCATTCATTGAAATAGGGAAATCAATGAAATCACCTTTCACCGCGCATATCAGATATATTCGCCGCCCACACTTGATATTATAACCGAACATCACTCCTCGATTAGAAGACAAGATATCGCTGGTGTTAGAGGGATCTGGGTGGTTTGGACACCTCCATTACAAATTATTATTTATTAACAACTGTACAGCAGGGTAACGCACAAACTAAATATTAAAGACCAAAAAGTTTACTATGTGCAGCTAGTATAAATTGTCAAGGCCTTTTTTTATACATGAAGTACTGTGAAATGACTGAAGACGAATGCAATGCCTCATACCATACATACGGTACATAACGAATTACTAATCTAGTTTACGTCCCGAATTCCATTCTCCTCTTGGTAATGTGAATGGAAAGTTTGTAACTAACACTGAAAACACATTAATATTTTCTGGGGAAAATCCTGGAAGACGTAGCTCACGTTGGTCAACTGATTAATCACTTTTCTTTCGGTATAGTCGTCCAAATAGGAAAGCGAAAGCGATGATTCTGAAGCCAAAGAGCAAGGCGAACATGACACCGATGTCCATTCCAAAATTGTCCTGAAATTTAAACACATCTTAATAACGGACGTTATGAACATATGTATTGACAAATGAATACAAAATAAAAATAAACCGTCAGATAATCGTCAGTTTTTCATTTTAAATTTGACATAATTGCCTTGTAACAATCAAGAAAGTCAAAAATATTCACTAACCGATTCAAAGTTGAGATCTCGCAAGACATCGTCACCAGTTTGGTAAGGACAGAGACTGCTGGTGTTGTTTCCGAACTCGCATCCAATACTGCCGAAATCATCCCACTGATTTATATTCAAGGCCTCATTGGCGTAATTGAACCACGAAATGTACTGCAGCCAGATGAAGTACACCGGTACGGAACTGCAAATAATTTCATGACGTTAACAAAAGAATTGGAAAAATATTATTAAAATACTTTAATAACTAGTGCAGGAACCACCAGTATGGTCTTTAAGAACGAGATCCGTTAATTATAGCAAGTCTTACTCGGAGTTGAGAAAGAAGCCTCCGAACAACATGAACGGTATGATGAGAGGAGCAGCAATGGCCAATGCCATCTCGAGGTTGCGAGCTAAACATGAGATGAGATAGCCTGAAGGTGAAACGGATGAATTATAATTAAAGTAGCTCACATTTATGAGATAACTTAAATAACTCGGAAAATAAATTCAAGTTCAAAGCTTTTCATAACCGTATTTATTTTACACGAAAGAATTGAACGTCTACATCATTTATGAAGGTAATATCAAATTAAAAAATCCCATTGCAAGGAACTGAAATTTATGATTATAAGCTAACTAGAAATCGGCATATATATTAAAAAGAATACAAACCGAAGGAAACGCCGATATTAGCAACTAGAACGATGATGCCCATACAAATGAAGAAGTTATCCGCACCAGGATTCAGTCCAACCATGTAGTAGATCACACCCACGAACAGCACTGAAATTATGATTATTGGAAAATAAGTTACGAGAATATTATTGAAAAAAAACACAAATAAAATAAAAAATAAATATTTATTATTCAAAATAGATACATGCAAAACATTTTAGTTTATCACAGGTTTTAAGAGACATTTGGATGATGATTTGACATCAAAACAATTCAAAAACCTGGCTGAAGAACTGCCATGGGGATTTCTGCAACATTTTTGGCGATGAAGAACACGTCTGAGCGATACATGCCGTTCTCATGCTCACGCGTGAAAATCTCTACCTCAGTTGCGAAAAGCTGTTGAAAAAATTAACTGAATACATGAAAAGATTATCGTTACTAAACCAAATAAAGAAGTCATTGCAGAAACGAAAACAAACATTACTGAAGTCAAGTCGATCACAGTGAAACGTTGACCAAGAGGCAAAACTAGATAGCCACTGCCAAGTAGCTCTTTTTAAATCAACCAAATTTCTTAATAAATCACTAAAAACACTTTCAATACAACCAATATTAGCATATCAGTTGCCATTATCAACATGGGAAGCCAAATTAACTTGATAAATAATTCGGAATAGACATAGACAATTTCTTTTAAATTCAGGTATTATTATTCACTTCTTAGCATAACATTGAACATTCTTGCGAAAGTGAGAGAACAGGTATGAGTACTTACATTGACCACCCCGAAGGTGTTCTGGAAAGTCATGTTGGTGAGCAGCAAGAAGAGAACGCTTATGCAGTTCTTAGCGCCTGCTTGGTCATTTTCTTGATCGAGGAAGATGAGCCCAAGTAATAAAGCAATCATCTGCAAGAATTTTTGTTAAGCGAGGGAATTCACAATCAAGGAATAAAAGCTTAATGTTACTCTCCATCAAGGGATAAAGGCTTAATATTACTCAATAGTAAATTCTTGCTCAACGTGCACTGTGTTGCAAATGCTGCTCGAAAATTAAGACGTCTAATTTCATTGATCTCTTTTTATTTATTATAATACTGCATCTTGTACAATAATGTCGAATAATTTAAGCAAGGCATTAGTTGTCGAGAGTTCCTTACAATGGTCTGTATGATTTTAATGCGCAGTTGAGTAGGATCCCTCAAAATTTCCAAAGTAGAACGCACGAGCACAGCCGAGAACTGAGAAGTCCAACTTGCTTTGTAAGGACTTTTATGGGTCTGAAAAAAAATCAGAGAAAATTATTACAATAAAAAGAGAAATTGGTTTGGTGCTGCTGTATCTTGTATAGGCTTACTTAATTTACATCTACACAAGTCTGGCAACAAAAAAAAGTTAAATTCAAACATCAAATGACTTTCAAATTAAGTAAATACATTGTCGTTTAGTTACAAGACGGAGAACGTTCCCTTTAGGAAAAATGCCGTACTTTGGAATCTGAAAATACGTCCTCCTTTTTGCCCCCGGCGCTGTTGGCCAACACTTGTCGTGTTACTTCCTTCCCTTCATTTGCATCGTAGTCGTCACAAACTTTAGCGATGAAACTCTTCGATTCTTCTTCGCGATCAGGCTCAACAGCCAACGTCATGATGAAGAAGTCAGCGGGGTTGAAATTATCAGGGCAGGTCTTACCCGCTCTGCAAAACGGACAAAATTCAAACAGTCCTGTAGCACTAAGCGATACTAACGATCTAAAGCAGTAACCAAGTTGAAGCTATTCAGGAATTGATCCAAACAGTCAACTCGATATAACTGACAGAACAGGTTTTGCTAAAAAATTTATGTAGAAATACAATTCGTAAATGTAGATATTTGAATTAAATTACATTATTGAGGCTTTAGAATTTAAGGGAAGAAAGTGATTCAGTATTAGTTATGATTATCATTGTTGCTGAAAAATGAAAGCAAAGCCTATCAAACAAAATATTATGAATTTGTATAAAAATTTAGGAATAAGTCTAGGAAAGTCATTAACGACTCGCCTCTCAAAGAAGGCGAGAGCCTCTGTGGTGAGACCCAAGAAGGCGACACGCCCTTCAGCCATCAGCAGCACGCGATCGAATAGCGCGAAAACCTGAAAATTAAGGAAAATTAATACTCCTCACCTAAAAATGTAACGCTAAATGTAAATATACCAACATTTCAATGGCCAAAAACTAAGCAAGCGTATAAAAGATATGATTGTTTAATTAATACAAGGGGTTTTGCTCAGTGTTGAGAATCTCCAGGCTCCTTGAAATTTGAATAAAATGCAGCTGAGACCAAGAGATGCACAGATATAAACAATAGAAGTCGCACTTCAGAGCTGGGCTGATGGATTGTGCTGATGATAGTGCGTCCTGTTTGGGCCATGTCTCGCATCGCTTCGACGATGGTTTGGGCCATGAAGGAGTCGAGACCTGTTGTTGGCTCATCGCACAGCATCAGTGAAGGGTTTGTCAACACCTGCCCAAGACTCGGCATCAATATAGGGTTAAATTTTACCATCAAGTGAAATCACATATGAACATTGCATGTATGAACACTACCAGTGAAGTACCGATGCAATAATGAATTAATTAATTTCGAGGCATGAGGCAAGAGGATCCTAACAAAGCACTAATTTAGGAGAGATGAAAATAGGTTCTAATTCGACGATGGAATCAATTTTCGCCAATTTATCCCTTTCTTCTGTAAACAAGTTATACACAAGAGGAAATTATTTATACATTATAATTTTTTTACAATTATACATTATTTAAACATTATTGTTTTTTTATAATTATACATCATTTGTAGAATTATACACTATTTAAATTGAGGAGGATTGAGAAAAAACTGAATACCATTAATTTTTCTCAGTAGAATTAATCATTGTCAACAAACCAATAAACAAACCTCGCACGCAAAAGCAAGTCTCTTCGTTTCTCCACCCGAAATTCCTTTGATACGACCAGGAATCCCAATAAGCGTGTTCTGACACTTGGTCAAGCTCAGCTGGAACGACAAATCACGTGTTACGCTAGTTCTAAATATTTATACATTTGCCTGCAAAAAGAAGTTATTATTCAGAGCCTTTCAACAGAAATTTACAGCGCGTTTCAAGCGACATTTGTCAAACGAGCAGGCAGTACAATTTTTTCCATTCTTGGATTGCATGCATTTAAATTTTTACTTAAATCAGAGGAAATAACGCTGCTTATCAAATAATATAAATAAAAATTATAATAATATTAGAACGATCAATTATTTAGAAAAATATTCAATTAATTGCAGGAAGCAGCAAAAATTAATTAGCAGCCCACCTCCTGCATGACTTCTCTCACGCGTTCCATTCGCTTTTCGTGAGGTATGTTTCTGTCCATCCTGAGACGAGCCTGCAGACAAGGACACCCTTAAAAACTGACAAAACTATTGTTTAACTATTTTTTCCAGCAATATATCAAAATATCTTCAATTGAGAGCTAGATTATTTTTTTTACCTGTCAGTTATTTTTTTTCCAGCAATATATCAAAATATCCTCAATTGAGAACTAGATTATATATTTTTTTACCTGTTAGCTATTTTTTCTAGCAATATATCAAAAGATCCTCAATTTAAAACTAGATTATTCATTTTTTTACCTGAAATATGAGTTGCTCTTTGACGGTGAGGGTTCCCACGAACAGATCGTCTTGTTGTACGTAGGCTGATTGGCTCGTCAGCTGCGACGGCTTCATAGTCAATCCATTGACGCACAGATTGCCTTCGTTTTGATAGAAAAATTAATTCATTGTAAAAACAATTAAAATATGTACAAAGCACTATCAAGAAAAATGAGCGTTCTTTCACACTCGCTCGATGATTGAAGGCTTGTTCATTGGTCAGCAGGTAAAAGTACTGATCCCAGAATTTTGAACATAGCCGTAAATGATTTCAATTTAATGGCCATTACTTATATTGATATATTCAAGAAAGGTTGTTAATGCGTTTCAATTACATTGCGTCAAGAAACTTTAGCATTAACAGAATCTTGAAAAATCATCGCTGCAATGATTTACTATCAGATATGTTATGAGTGATAGCGATGTATTGTCAACTAGCTGACGCTAAGTCGGGGACGAGTTAATGCAGTCTACCTCCATGCAGTCACTTAATCTATTGTGTTCAACACACTGGCTCAGTCATGCTGAAATATTGTCGCATCTAATGCCACAGTGACTCAAGGATTGTTGCGCAAAAATATGTGATGAAAATCAATCATGATTAATAGCACTTTTCGTGCATGGATTTCAAAAGATGATCAAGATATCGAAGACTTTCAGGGACAATCGCTTGATAGCAAAATCATTGTTGACCATAAAAAAACTTATTACTCAAGGTCATACTACATGTGAATTTTTCTCGTTTATTGCTGAACATGATAACTTGCCACAACTTTGAGCACGAACCAGATACGTTGAGCAGGTCACCGCCACGGCCGGTGAGCACGTTTAGGAGCGTCGTCTTGCCAGCACCGGAAGCTCCCATGATGGCAAGTAGTTCGCCTGGCCGACAAATTCCCGACACTGATCGAGAACAAACATTCATTACATCCGATCAAATGCATCAGCTTTGAAATATATGAGGAGAATAAATTTGGAAGTTAGGATGTTTTCTCAGTTCGGTTATAAATTAAACTCGTTACGATAATCTAGATGAAACTTCGGATGGTTTACATTGACGATCGATACGCGATAAGACTTACCATTCTTTAATATATGCTTAGTGGGTGCGTTCTTTGATTTCTTGCCGCAGCAGCCAGTTGGTGGACGAGCGAATACGTTTACATTGTGCCAGGAATAAGTTATTTGCTGCGTAACTTTCGACTGGCTTCGTTGGAGTCCTCGCTCCACGTCGATGATTGAATCATGGCCCTGATAAATGAACACCAATATAACCAAGGTACAGATTTGGTTCAAATTATAATGACGCTCCACTCAAAAGCTGGTAAAAATAAGACGCTCAACTAGGGATATTAAGATTATCGATACGCCAGCGGCAGAAACAAGCAATTACTTTTAACGGTATTTCCTCAGTATTTACAACGCTCAATTAAGGAAAAGTCGACTCATTTAGGATTCTTATTCTACCCGCCTCTCAACGCAAAATAAAAACTGTCTGAATACAGAGATATGCTTAAGAATAGGACCGATATAATTATTTACAAGAAGCACACAACTGACGTAAAATTAGATACATAATGTTTCTACCGAAAAGAATACCAACTTATTAAGTGCTTCAGGTCACTCACTTCAGGCTCATACGCAGGGTTAGAGTAGGCTTTATCGGAGGTCATATTTATGGGTAATCCGCTTCCATTGACAGACTAGGAATAAATAAACAAGCAAAAACTTAACCATAGAATATACACAATATGATGAAACTGCATATGAACTAAATTATTCAATATTCAAGTCATGCATCGGAGGTACTTCTTAGCGAATATTTATTCGTGGGGTAAGGCTTTGTTAATAAATGTGGCAAAACGAATCTAATCTAATGAACGTCCGCAAAGCAATAAGAATAAGAGAAATAAAAGATTTTTCTTATTTTCAAATTTTAAAATCTAAAGTCTAGATACAAGTAGCAAAAAAAAAACAGCCAAGAGTTTGTAGTTATTTGCACAGCTCACGTCGCAATGCTGCGCCATTCATTACGTAACTATTTTTCAACTAGTTTCAATGGCCTTACAATTCGTTTGTCGAGATTCCATTACTCGACCCAAATTAGTGAACTTGACTGCCCCTCAACACAGGAATGATATCCGCAAATGATTTATTTGATTAGAAACCAGTGTTATGCAATAGCATTTCCGCGGCTGTTAGGACAGCCTGGTTCCCTCAGAATGAATGTACCCGCATATGAATAGAGGTGCTACACAAACTTTCATTTTAGGAATAACTTCAGTACGTGCTTTCCTTTCTTGAAGCTAAACCATGTCACAAAGCCACAATGAATCAAAATCATTCACATGAAAAAAAAAATAAAGATCTAGGGTCAGCACTAATGAAAAGAGTACCGTACACTGCTGGACATAACAGGCAATGCTGGCTAACATCTATCATAGTCAATGGCTGACCAGCCTTGTCTTATCGCTATCGTCACGGGTATCTGAAACCCAGACAGTAGAGCTAGTCGTTGCTATAGGTATAACATACACATAAATAATTGCAAGTTAAACAGAAATCGTAATCGCCAGGAGTCAATTAATTTCATCTAGAGTGCTGCTGATTTGAATGTTACACGAGTAACTCTAATTTAGGTTTTAAACAATAATGGTAAACATAGTCATTATAAAGAGTAATAAAGTGAATTTATTGCGTTTGACCCAGTAAAAAAACCTTGATTGAGTGGAATGCCTGACCTTGCAATGATGGAGCACCACAATCAGAATGGTATCAGCGAGATAAGTTTTATCTTCAATAAACGCAACGCAAGGATGAGACTTGTATCAGTAAATAAATCGAACACGGAATGTGTTCATTCATGTTCCAGCAGCAAGGTTATTTGTAATCACTAAATCAAATAACAAATTAGACAAATTTTATTTATACTTAAATTTTTAACGAGTACTGAAGTCCAGTAAATTACAAACTATGATGTAAAAATAAATAATGGCTTCAGAACTTGAATCTCTATCGCTTTAGACCAGTGGTTCCCAAACTTGTTTAGGCTGGCATCCCCTTTGGCTCCCCCAGTGAATCTCTAGCCCCCCCCCCCCCCCCCCCCACAAATTAACTTTCCCCCCCCCCCCCACACCACGACAGACACGTATAAAAACAAACGCCACTTTCTTGATAATTACCGTAGTACGCTGCAATTTTAAAAGAGAAAGGTGAAACACAAATGTGCATTTTACAAATAGAACCCCATTCAGTAAACCAATATATTTTGTTACATTTTTAACTGTTTCAGCACTAGAAATTCATGACGGCTCGGACAAATTTGCGGCCGGACTCACGGCCAATCTCCAAATTCAGTGACCAAGGAATATCTCCCAAACTAATGAACACAGCTCGATAAAATGTGGAACACGTATTCATTAGGACCTAACAGTGATGTTTAGCTTGTGAAAAATTGTTAAATTTCACTTTCATTCGGGAGTTAAATGGCGTTATGGGCCGATATTTGCAGTGATCAAAGAATTTCTTCCAAACTACAGAACAGATTCGAACGAAATTTCGAACATAAATTCCTAACTACCAAACGGTGATTTTTAGCTCGTGAAAATTTATTCGAGTAGGAGTCATGTTCTGCATGTGTTGTGTAGCTACAAATCGTCGAACAAGATTACAAACTTCTGACTTCGACTTTGCGGCTTGCCACATCCCTACTGCCCCTTTCTTCCTCACCGCCCTTCCAGATCTTTCCACCGCCCCCAGGGGGAGGGGGAAATCGCCCACTTTGGGAACCACTGCTCTAGACAATGAGCAGCATCCAACTTTAAATCCAATACAACTTCAGAGCTTAAAGACAGCAAATATTAGCGATTGAAATGCTACTCTGTTATAAGCGAGACCTCTAAAACACGAAAAAATTAAAGCATGTGAAAATGATTCTTACCATCATATTTGCGGTGTCACATAGGTGCAAAATCAGAGCTGTCCAGGATCTGTTGCGTGTGTCGTTTCTCAGATGCGTCCACGGAAATCGAACGAGTCGTATATTTTGTTGCCTACTGTGTACAAAATTTCCTCTCCAAACATGTCGATCAGAGTAGAAAGTAATTTGACACTCGAAGGCACTGATATCCCCAAGTCGAAACTTGAAACTACGATTTGTAGGGTTTGATCGAAACTTAATAAATAAAAAATCTTTTTTGATTGCGCTAGTACAAAGATTTAGCGCAGAAAAGATTTAACTCAGTTTTGTTTTTAAAATATATACCTAGTTTCTTCTGAAGGCCCGGCGACATTAGTGCAGCTGGCGAAGTTATACCTAGATAGGCATTGACGGTAGGTAAAAAGTAAAGTCGATGCTAAAACAGAAACTTATCAAATTAAATTGTGGGAAATTTAATATGCAAGCTTCTTGTGAATAGCGAATGAAAGTATTTGCAAAACATCAGTTACTTCTCGAATAAAAATTTTGCATTTATTTGAAGAAAATTGTTTTCCGTCCCCGGAAAATTCTCAATCACATCGTGAATAGTTTCCCATCTGCCTATACGTCTGTTTATCAATAATCAACTGGTAATATCTACGTAATTCACCCTCGTGTGAGTCCCGTCCTAGAAGATTTTTCGTGGGTAGGCTACTGCAAAGTGCCAATATCATGAATATGTCACTCATGAAGGATGAAGCCTACACGTAAAATTTCGTCCAAATATGTGAGGTACGTAGTAAATGAAGTATTGAGAAGAATCATCAAACTTCATTTAAAGTCAGTTATGATTTTATTCGAGATATCGAGCGTTATGTAGACAGTAGACACCACCTCAAAACCATAGAAGCTACCTAATCAACACTCGTGTCAATGCCGCTGCAGTCGCACGTCTCCAAGAAACTATAAACGGAATTACACCACAAATTTCAAATTCGATCTGAACAGCTGCACAATTTTCATATGACAATTAAATATTATAAATTTTAGTATAACAGAGAGTACTTATACTGTTTTTATGGACAAATTATGTGCAAGATAAGCAGATCGGCGACACATTTGGCGTGGCCGCGTGGTTACAACTAAATTCAATTAAGAGCATGATCACGCAGATGCTAGCTACCTTTTAGTCGCAGTATAGTATTAATCTCGTGGATGTGTGGAACGAATTGAATAACCTAAGATTACTTTGCAAGTTCATTCATTCTAATACATACCAAAATGTTCAACTTCAGCAGAAAATGAGGAATTCCACTTAGTAATTCGAAAAACTAAACGAATGTCCCCGAACCGGCAGCCAACCACGACGGCCAACGAAAATCGAGTGAAAAGGATTGTTGATGTTGGCTACCCTAGCCGGTAGGTCTTGTGCGAACTTTCTTTTCCATGAAGTAGGGTAAAACTGAATTTTTAGAATCAATATAATTACATTCGAGTTGGGTAAAAACTGAATTTTTAGAATCAATATAATTACATGTATAGCAAAAGTGGTTTTATTATTTGCAATGTCATTTGAGCTTTTGCTTCCATATACATCTTTTTCCACGTTTATCATATTCAAATACCGAGATAATGACTCAAAAGTAGTTGATAGAAATAACATAGACGCAAAAAGTTCACGCAAGAAAGATTATGCGCTCAATTAGCTTATATAGTGTTCTTCTTTATTCGATTATCTAGCATTCCACGAGGAAGTTGATTCGTAATGTGCGATTAATACCTCAACAACTTTGCGAGTTACTTTACATAGCTATTTAAAAAAAAAGTAGGTAGGTCTTCGACGAGAGAAACTTTCTTTGAAATGTTCAACGCATTATTGCTACTTCAGTGCTTTCTCGGTATAAACTGATTTGATTTTCTACCAATCAATTCATTAAGATAATCATAAAACAAACTAAACAGTCTTCTGTTTCTGCATTGGTATTCGTTTCAGAAACATTTTTCAGTTTCTGCATTGACAATTTGCTTCTTTAAAATCATCCTTAGCGAACGCTCATCTCACCGATACATGATAGCGGAAGTGGGCTATCTATAAACAAAATTTATCACAAGGAAAAATAAAAAAACAATACAATGGCAACATTTCTCCTATTTCAAATTGTGATCTGTTTACATATTGACAGTACAAAAAGTTAGCACGGCGACGTAGGCTGGGGCAAGAGCCTGCGAACATTCCACAACTACGAAAAAATGTACACTTTCTACAGAGCCCTTACTAAAAGAAGCAAATAAATTACACCTTTCAACACGATCCAAGTATTTTTTCTAAGATCGCAACAATCTTCAAATGAAAATCAATGCCGATAATGAAGCCATCCTGCAAAGGAACCTTGCATCAGCCTTTTTTACGAGTTATTACATGGTATCATACATGCAGAAACGGAAAAAAGAAGGGTACTCTCCATGAAACAAATTAAAATATAATATTAATAATAATAATAATGACCGTATGTTAACTGATGCCTTAAGTGGGCGTTGTAGCGCCCCAGGAGAGGGAAAAATGACATCCAACAAATGGGATGGGTGCGCAAATGAGAAGAGCCAACTCTCCCACCACAATGAGATCACGTTACAATCAAAGCAGGAAGCTTGGCACTACAGCGGAGCTGAGGCGACTTCACCTATAAAACTTAGATAATTACCATCTTTATAACAACTGGTCCGGCATCAGATAAACTTAATGAATTAGCAGAGGCGGCGACAGCAACATCAGCTGCTTCTTATTAGATGAATGAGAGCCAAGGTGAAAAGTAGTGATAGATCCGAAGAGAAAGCGTCAAAGCTGAATGTTTCTCTTCATTTCACAAGTCACCAAGTCAAAAATGTTATAGTATCACTAGTACACTTTACACTGTGCAATCATTACAATTACGATGTTTACACCAATGTCTTCTTCAAAACACTCAACAACATAGGGAGTATAATAGTTTGCACTCAAAACTAAGAAAAAACATGTAACAATGGTGACACATCACTTTCCATTCAGAAATGAGAATATTCCAAAATCGTACTTGAAATTATCAAGTGGACCTTTAGAAAAAATAATCCTCATTTGACAGTGATAGATATATATCGATTTCTATATATTTATTCTATATATTTTCAAATACCTCATAAATCGAATGTAGACGTTTGGAGTGTCAATATCGACCTACGGCACACACAGGACTACGTCACTAAATCATTTGAGCAGTTTTCAGGATTCAGGCTGCTGCTCTCTCTTTATCTTGCCATCAGTGGAGGATTGATCGCCACTTGGAGATGCAGCGCCGTCGACACAGTTGTTTCCACTTGAGTTAGTGCCATTGCTGCTTGAGCCGTTGCCACTTTGTAGCTTTAACTTGTGGGCCATGAGCACAGCGACGCTGTCCTTCATCGCATGGTAAATGATATTTTTGATTTGTAATTTGTCTTCATGGTTGGTGTGACTGTCGCTAAGATGCCGGAACTCTTGGGTCAGATGAAAGCAATGAGCGACGTTCTCAGGAGACACGAAATCTTCGGCCACTTTGATGCAATTGTGAAGATTTCGAACCTGAAATAATAAAAACACTTATAATCGCATACACTTCGCATACAAACTGAGTCAATTTATTAACATCAATCCAAGTTCAAGTTTGAGTCGAAGTCATATGACCATGCATTGATTGGATAAAACTTAGCAATTTTTCATTGAGTAAGCCAGCAAGTTAACGGAGTTTATTAGGGTAAAGCAGAAACTTCAAGAGGGGTAATGCAGAAACTCAAGAGTATTTATTAAGGCAGATTTTATTATGGTAAAGCAGAAACTCAAGAGTATTTAATTTATTCGCACAAATGCCATTTTATGATAGTCCTAACAGAGCCACTAGGAAAAGAAAATATAAGCAAGATAACAATGAAAGCTATACTAAGTGAGGCAATACGATTATTACCTGGTGCGGGGCCCCGGCGGGGATGAAGATGGCATCTCCCATGCACTGAAGGATGGAGTATCCCTCAACACCGTATTCCTTGTAGAGTCTCTCCCTCAGAGGACGATCAAGATACCAACTCTGATCATGAATGGGGTCGTGGTAAGGTTCCAGCTTTACGCCGTTGGCGATAGCGACTTTATTGAGGAGATCTCTTATTTTGTCGGCATCGCGTGCGTGGTATATATGCCACAGAGCTCCTGGGACGGTCTCTGGCTCACGGGCGCGACGACGTGTGAGTAAATCGCAACCAGCGTCGTCAATGGCTTTCAAGGCAGCTGTAACAATAGAACCAAAGAATTTTCAATTCATATTCAGATTAAAAACGCACAAAAAGAGCATTACCTTATGATATGGCTTCCCGTCGTTAATGGCTTTCAAGGCAGCTGTAACAATAAAACCAAAGAATTTTCAATTCAGATTCAGATTAAAAACACACAAAAAGAGCATTACCTTATGAAACACAATTTCGCTGAATTTCGTCGTCAAAATGAGGAAGCGGTACGAAGTAAATTATAAATTTATCGCACATCAAGTTCTTGAATTAATTCACTTACAAAAAGTACAATTAATAATGAGAGATTATTTTGAAACAAACCTTTGACATCTTCTTCCGTGCTGCCGTCTTTGGGTACTCCGGAGTAGCACATTACGTTGACAGCATCAGAAATGTCTAAATGCAGATTTGTTGAGGCCTTTTGAGGATATAGGGCCGAACCGTAGGCGATGTACATCTTAGGGCCAAGATCAGGTTTGACAAAGCATTCCGGCAAGCGGCCAGCCAGATTTAGAGTTCCGTCTCGTCTTGTATAGTCGCCCATAGGAAGTTTCTCCATTAGATCTTTGAAGCGCATAGGCAAAAATTCGGCGAAATCGTCACCAGGAGGCCAGTCTTTTAATTTTAAAATCATGGGATTGCCTTTTTCATCTTTAAGTCTTTTGCTGTAGTTTTCAAACCCGTCCCAGAACTTGCGCATGGTTTGATTGGGAACGATGTTGCCAGTTAGGCAATTGATAAGATCGTTCTTCACTTCTCCAAAATCTTTAGCGAAGGAATAAGGCCTCCAGAGATCCTGTTTGAAAAGTTGGCCAGCACCAGAAACCATTACAGGTTGTCCTCTCTTCCATTGGTCTTGGAAAATATGAATGTTGTTAACGTTGGTCGGATCGTGCAGACGTAGCAATTTGCCATCGCAAAGCCATGAGTGCTGCACATTCGGATACAGTAATGTGCTTTCTACTTTCGTCATAATGCGAATAGGCAGTAGATCACGGCCCACACGTTTGTAATTGTACCTGAAAGGGAGAATAACATTCATTTAAAGCCGGATACAGGGATGTTACACATGAAAGAAAATCTTACATTATCACACGCAAAAATGCATCAAACTTAACATATTGAATTCAAAATAAACTCACTTCCTGATGAAATGCTTGAGCTCCAGTTGTTTGTTATCCAGTTTAGTTTCGGTGTCCGCGGTGTTTGGTTCTATTACGCACGATATGAGATCATCCAAAGTCTCGAGCTTCGGCTTCTTCTTTGTGTTGGAGGGCGGATCATCCTTAGTGTGATTCGCGCGGCTGCTCGGTCTGGAATTCGGACGTTGCAATAGCTGACGCAGCGTAGATTGATTGCCATCCTTGTCATCCGAATCACTTCCAAAGTCAGAATTGGAGGTCTGCATGAAATTAACAAAATAATAAATTATAACATGTTGAAAAATACTGATCTCGACATTAAATATACTGAGGTGATTGACCTAATTTAGAGACTGGTAACAACGCAACAAACTAAAATTGGTACGTATATGAGCAATTGATTTGAAATTCAGTTTGAATATAGCATAACATTTTGAACGAAAATGGGCCAAATAGCATCATAAATATTCATTATCACGCCAAAAACGTACCTCACTATCGCGTTTATCATTCGATAATGCGACATTGGCGAAGAAATTAAGAGGAGAGTTTGCCATATCCTCGTCATCTTTGCCATTAACCTTGTTCTTCTCGCTCTTAATTGAACCGTTGACAAGACCACAATTAGGCTCATCCTTCACAGAAACGCCTTTCAAAACGCCGTTCAGTTTTTTGTTCTCATCGCTTTGTAGAGCTTCTTTTTCCTTATATTTTTGAGCTTCTTCACAATTACAAAGCTGTGGCAGGCCAAAATCGTATCGAACTTGGTGTACCATCTTTCCCAGCTCCATGAGAGCGTTGCCAGAAATAATTTGAGTGAGCATGAGCTTGTCCTGTTCATGCGGCACGCGGGAGGTGCAAAGCAACCATTGATATTCGTCTCGCTCCTTGTTGCCAGCATCATCCCACACCTGAATGTTAAAAGGGTAAGAAATGAGCGGCCCAGGCTAAGAGGGAAAAAGTTCAATAATAGTTTTGAAAAGTTATATCTAGCGGCCCAGGCTAAGAGGGAAAAAGTTCAATAATAGTTTTGAAACGTTAATCAAACAGGCAATTCGTTTCGCCTTCGTCTGTTGAAACTGATAGAATTCCATCAAAAAATCGCCAGTGTAAGGGAGCACGGATGTAATACCTAGTATGACTAACCTTGACAGTTCCGTTTTTCCGTCCCTTATAGCAGTCAATGCATACAACGAAGCCGCACTTGCTACATGCCCAGTGGATATTGAAGAGAGTCGTTTCACAGACGTCGCACATTTCACGTACGCCTTGTACAACTCGCTTCCAAGCCACTGTACAATCTGCAGAACCCAAAACAAAGGTGGGGAATCAATACTAGGCATATAAAGCGAATCTTGGTCATTCATATCGGCAACGTAAACAAAAAATTTTGAACCGAATAGACAACCATAAAACCATCATAGCGGATTATCGGTTATATTGAACATCAACAATTTTCATAATTAAGGTTCACGTACCACTGGCCATATGCAGCTGAGTGGCTTGTTTTTCTTGCTGTACTAAATCACACAGTTGATCGCCCACATGCGTTATGAGAAACTTGCTTTTCTCAACATCGAGATCAGGGACAGGATTATTGATGTCTGGAACCCACAAACGCAAGTCTTCACCATACGCATCCTGCAATCAAGAGTAAAATTACACATTGGAATTCAACTTGATCCATACGCATCCTGCAATCATGAGAAAAAATTACACATTGGAATTCAATTTGACAATTTAACAGCTCGTGACCGAATTTCAAGAATTTCAAAATGTAAATCAAATTGCAATCGTGCATCTAATTTAACCACCTTGATTGGATTAGAGAAGCCAGCTACAGCCAGCTGTCCGTTTTTCGTGTAACGAAGTCTCCTGAAAGCGTAGAACCTGCAGAAGATGTTTGGCATTTTCTTGTTGCGCTGATTAGGAGTCCACCTGCACTCGCGACATTTAGGTAGCTTCGGCGATACTTCAAAACAAGAACCGTCTTGCAAGAAGCTCTCACCCGTTTTCTTCAGCTGATGTAAAGGTGGTTTCTTCAATGGATCTCCAACTAATTCTTCTTTCAACTTTTTCGGCTTTGGACCATCTTCTTTTTCCTTCTCGACTTTGGGCTTCGGTTTCCTTCCTCGTTTCTTAGGTTCTAGATCTTGCTTCAACGAAAGCCGGCTCGACTTTTTACTAGTCTCACTGCCGTCACTTTCCTTGTCACTCTCACTATTACTGTCACTGCTCTTCTTGGGACGCTTGATTGATCGCTTACCTTTCCCACGCTTTGGTTTGTGCACAGCGTTGCCGTCATCAGAATCAGTGGATGACGAATCTAGGTCTCTCGCATCTTGAGCATGCCCATTAGGAAGAGTTGAGCCCCCTTTACTTTTCCATGAAGGCAAAGATCCCCTGCTACTTCCATCTTCATTTCGAGATGATTTACCGTTAGCCGGTGACTTCGGACCTCCTGCATTAGAATTATTAGTGCTACCCCCATTCATGGCGGCTGTAGTAGCCCCAGGTGAGCCATTGGGTCCTCTACTGGAAGGAGAAGGGGACAAATTATTGGGAACTATTTCGGGACCACTTTCGTGACGATGCAGCCAGGCTTTCTTTAGTTTATGGACGTAACCCGCTCCAGATGGGCCAGGACTGTTAGATTTTTCTGGTTCAGATTTACCGGAAGGTGTACCAATGGAATTAGAATCCGGTGAATGAGTGCTGTCAGGCCTCGAAGGGGTTGGAGTGACTGACGCCGGAGGTTGGCTAGGAGGTCTCGAACCATTGGAATTAGCCTGCACAGGACTGAGGGTACTATTGACGTTTGTTTGAGCAGCTAAATTCTCCACCGATGTTATTGTAGTCATTGCAGGTGAGTAAACAGGGCTTGGCTCGGGGACTTTAGATAAAAGTGGTGCAGTAGAAGTTACTTCTAGTCGAGGCTTCTTAGTATCTTGGGGAGTGGGTGTCAATGTCCGTCGCTTGGCAGGAGATGCCCCTGGATCATCTCTCCGACCCAAGTCCAATGGTTGAGTTTGCGCTGGGTGAACACCTGGAGCTTGGAGAGGCGTCTGATGCTGCTGTGCCGTAGTGACTGGGAGACCAGTCCTCGGACCAGTTGTCAAAGGTACATGGGATAAAGCCGGCGATGGTTTAGGATGAGGAGATGGAATATTACTGGGATATGATCTTGCGTCGTAAGGAACCGCTCGTTCGATGTGCACCCGAGCCTCATGAGGTGGTGGAGGGGCTCTCTCAGGGTTTCTATTACCAGAATGCGCTGGTGGAGGCGCTGCGAGTAGCGCTTTAGCATGCGGTATGTGAGCTGGCAATCCTCCACGAGCAGTGTGTTCCGGCTGAGTGTAAACTTGCTGAGGAGGTGGCGAGTTAACTTTCGATTTGAGAGGCCCTTGCTGTGACATGTGCAATGGGTTCGGTATTAAACTCACTGATACTAGCGAAGTATTATTGCTTACGTGACTTGAATGGTGCGAGCGTGAAGGATGTTGACTTGAGTGCAGTGAGTGGGGCGAGCTAACAGGCTGATGGACAGCTGAGAGCTGAGCGTGGGAAGGGTGAGAAGCCAGACTAGCATGTGCTGCGTGGATAGAATGCGCAGACTGATAGGAAGTTGACGGAGATTTTGAAGGGTAGTAGCGGTCATGAATGGCTGGAGATGAGGTCGACGGATGAGGTGAAGACTGAGGTGGCCGGGTTTTAATAAGATCAACACTATGTGGGGAAGACGCCATGGATGACCCAGGTCGAGAGGAGGAATCTAGGCTGATGACCTGATGCGATGAAGGACCACTACTCCCTCGATGTTGAGACTGAGTAATTTCATAACTTTTATACATGTTCGCCGGTTGGTAAGGACTCGCTCTCCCAATAACTGCCTGTTTGGGACTTATTGAATGAGATTTGTCGTACTTCGGGTCCGGTTGTACAATAACGCTAGATTTATCATGATGATGCATACCGTAGTGGGGGTCACGATGTTTGGGGTCTTTAACGGGGGCAAAAGCAGTCGCAGGATATGCATGCATGGTAGAAGCCGCTGCATTGGTAACTAGAGTTTTCTCAGCAAGCGATTTAGAGTGGGCAGGAGGTGGCACGATGCCTTGTTCTCTTCTATCATCTTCTTGTCCTTGACGATAGGCTTTGTAAATGCTTTCTGATACCATCCGATCAGGCCCCTGATGCCTTCTTGACAATTCGTCTCGTTGACGCTGCTGATGCTGTTCCAGAAAACGGCGTTCTTCCAGCGGATGAATTGATGTCCACCCACCGCTCTTCTGCACAGAAAAAACAATTTGTTATTGGAGTAAGGCTCGTACAAAACGAACAACAAGGATATACAACTCACAAACCATTATAGGGAAACCGGATATGAAATTTCGTGCAGAATAAGCTCTCTAAAATCATAAAATAATACGCATTAAAAGGATGTGACGGTGTTGTTTGATATTATTATCATTGAATATGACAGCATTCTCTATTGAAAACTGTAACGCGCTGATCAGAAATAACAATAAATATTACATACCGAAGAACACACTCCAGGAAAAAGAGAGTAACAACAATAAAAGCTCAGTGACACACATGTAACAAGCGCAAACAAAATTCAATTTGAAAATTTGAAAATAACGTCGATCTCCACCAAAATAAAAATTTGCATGTAATTGGCACGTATTATTGCTGAAAACCAACAGATATGATGAGCACTAATAGGATTTGGTAGACAAAATTTAAAATTTTCAGAAATTAATAATCAAATTTATATACGGTATTCACATTAAATGAGAACATTAAATGTACCATGGGGCATTTAAGGAAAAGAAAATAAGTTTTTCTTGGAATATGTGAAATAAGTTTTTCCAGCAAAGAAAATGTAACATTCCAAACATGCCTAACAAGAAATAATCAAGCATAAATTAGACGCTTGCGTTCTTCCCGTTCTTCCAGTGAAGGGTAGGTGGCCTTCTCGCACATCACATCATTTTGTAAGCGATGAGCTTGCAGTAACATCAATATCCAATAAACGAAGATGCACACAAAACCAAAAACAAAACAGCGTAAATCGGTGACCATGGCGCCAATGATGCTGAGATTCGTCGTTCGAAGCACTCGACTTTCTCCGCAGAAAGCACGAGTTCACAACAAGCATAGCATTCCAATTATCGTTAAAGCTATAAAACCCAGTGAATTGAATGATCATACATGTTTAGTCTAAAAACTTACATCGCTTTTAAAAGCCACCACAATTCTCCAAATAAAAAGAAATTCTCATTTTCGATTAAATATTTAACGTAACGCCGCGCAGGCTGAACAACTAAGTCGGGCGGAAACAACCACAGACATAAAGCACTGACGAAAAATACCAATATAAAATAATAAATAACAAAGAGCAACGTGAGATTAGCAGCGAAGGCCGTTTGGAGCTCATTAGAAATGTGAAAATAAATTTCACACTTCACTAAAATGAGAACATATCAGCGCGCTATACAGCGAAAAAAATTATTAATCGATATAGTGGGACATTAATGAACACCAAGAGCTCTTTGCTGAGAAAGACATTCAAAAAGGAAAACCAAGAGGAGCAGAATTAGATATTTTTACCTGATTGGATAGAGGCTGATATACAGATGTAGTCGTGGGTTGGGACTGAGTCGCTGGTTGTGGAGGGTAGAGTGTGTTGATTTGTTGCTGCACGTGGTGCTGTGTTAGTGAAGTTTGTTGCGTCTGGTGGTGAAGAGGTAAGTGGTTGGCAGAGGAGAATGTGACTGAGGGTGGATGGTGTAATGACGAGTTGTGGGTAGTGGGTTGGTACTGGTTAGAGTTGTTAGAGCATGCATTATTGCTATTATTGTTGAGTTGGTGTAGCGGATGGAAGTAGTGATGATAGTTGGTGCTGGGCGTGATAAGGTTATCGGTGTGTCGCATCACTGCACCACTACAGGGCTAAACACCAAAAAATGATTCAAAGTTAGGACTACAAGCATTGAATAGCAGTTGAGTTATCACCAATATCAGTTTCAACCATTAATAGACAGATGTCAAGTCTCACAACAATGTTATGCCTTATGAACACTATAATTGTATTTTATTTTTCACCCGCATTTTTTAATCAACTTTATTTCAATATTGTTTCTTTTTTCAAAAGGCATTGTTCAAAAAGAACATTTAACAAATTCTGTTGTTTTTCATAACAAACGAACGTTGTGCATCATAAACCATGTGAATTATCAGTGTGTTCGTGATTATTTCTACAAGAGAATAAAGAAAAACTAACCACTGAAGACAATTACAAGCCTGCCACAAGCTTTATTCTAAGGAGGCTAATTGACATAAATGTCTAAATTTGCCCCGATACATGTACCTAAAAATCGATTTGGTTCTATTTATATTCTAGAAATAATTTGAGCAAAAAATTTGGTTGAGAAACACGTAAAAAGTCTAACAGATTGTAGAATAAGAACGAATTCCGCCGAAGGGCTTAACTTCACTGCACGACTTTAGGGAAGTTTTCTTTAGCGCAAGAAGCAAAACAGGCACAAAGTCATCAAAATTACCTGAAGCAAACAGGCTTCATCTGTCAGGGCCAAATGCAGTGGAGATAGATCCACTACACCGCTCGTGTACTGCGAGTCAGTGTGTCCTCCCTTTTCTCTCTCACACACGCACACACACATACATACACACAAACACACACTCACACGCGAGCTTCAACCTCGACCTCGCTACAGCGAACTAACCTACACATGTGTAGAGACACGCGCATTCGACAGTCCACTCGCATGGCTGCCAATGCTTCCATTTCCTCTCTCTCTCTCCTCTACTTTGCTCTGCTAATGCAGGCCTGGCTCTTTGTGCGCCAGGTGACTTTACTTATCAGCGCTTACAGATTAGTCTGTGAATTGTAGCAATGCTACAAATCTCAGTCATGTGCATGCCCTATTTGATTAGCAACGAGCCAGCGGCGCTAATTCATATGTGGATGCTAATTCATACATGACGATGACCAACCGAAAAATTCTTTATGGAAACACTGGAATTCATACGTGACGATGATCAACCAAAAAATTCTTCATGGAAACACTGGAAGGCTTATCGAGTCGTTCTACTACACGCTGAATTTCTGATACTAGATTGGCACCAAGTTTCAATTAACTTGAGCTGCCCATAAAGAAAGAAAATCCTTACCAAGGGATAGCAATAGCTAATTCTAGACTCTAAATGCAACGAGATCGAGGTCAGAACCAGGAAACGTCGAGCCAGCAAGGCAGAAGAGTTATGAAGTAAGAAGTTCAAAATTACCTGAAATTACAGACTTGAACAAAATATTGACCTAAGAATTCAGAAAAAATATACCTTTTGTTCATGAAGTCTCAATGATTCTTCAAAGTGCTGTGCAACTTGATGTTTTTGTCGTTCCTTCTCTTCTCTGATTTTCCGTTCCTCTTCTTCTCGCTCTCGCATTCTCTTCTCCCGTTCGGCAGCTTTTTCACGTTCCATTTTGACACGATCTTTTTCACGTGCATCTAATTCTCGGCGGTCTCTGTAAGAATAAAAATTTACAATCATTAGATATGCATTGTTGCAAAAATAAGTTTTCATCTGTAACAGCAGTTTTCCCGCAAGCTTATCTCCATAACACAAACAAGAAACGTTAATAAGAATGTAGTGAAGAAATAAAAGGCGAAACACGTATACAAAATTCAGTGACTGCAATTAGAAAAACTTGCAAATTCCAATCATGATAGTTTTTCAACAAAGGCATGACACTGAATCTATTGTAATCCTCAAACGATACTTCACTCCCCTAACCGCCAGAATTATGTGTCGAAACATTAAAAAATTAAATACGTCCGTGTTGCGAGCGGCACATAGTGAATTCCAGTATAAATTCACCAAACTGACTTATCCTGCCAACATATGAGCACGCATTTCACGTAGTTATACATAAAACATATAACACATCAAATACAACTTGATTTTTCCATAAATTATTAAACGTGTCAGTATTGCTCACCAAAATTAACCACACCTATTAATTAAAGAATCAAGAATAAAAAATGCCTGCCAACACACAAGCACGAATTTCACATACCTAGTTATATATAACACAAATCACATGCAAAAAATTATTCTGCTGTGTTTGTCACCAAGTCGCTAATACCCCGGCCGGTATCTTTATTCTTTATTCGTCGAGTTTTGCTCGAATAATGATGTAAAATATGCAATTAAGCGCAGGTAGAGGTGTTGCTGTTACTGTTGCCAACAAAGGGCTTCCCCTTGGCAAGCTCATGCGGCCAGAAATAGAAACGGCTTCTATCGCAATGCGAGCGTCACGTGAATGTGTCCGAGCAAACAAATGTTTTGCCTAAACTATCCAAACCACGAACATAAATTTTGCAGAATATTCAAATACTTTTTATGATAAACAATGAAAACCTCACTCGTACCACCACACTGAAGGAAGTGCAAACAAACCACGACAAACAAAGGCGAAGGCAGAAAGAAACGTCTCTCGTTTTTCAGCCTTAGGCATTTTAAAACAGTTGCCTCACATCATCTTTTGTACTCCTTGTTATTGTTACTTAAACGTGTCCATTATTTTTCTAATTAGCTTGACATCGTAAGTGAAAAAAATATTTTTCCAGCAGTATATCATACTACTGATGCAATAGAATAAAAATAAATTCATTAACAAATTCAGTGTAACCCGTCTACACGCGTGCATCAGATCACAGCTTCTCTTCACTGTCCGTGCAGAGGTTATTCCTCACAACGATCGATCCAGCGGCACCGTGTGCGCAGGGCGAACGCACACGCACACGCACCTAGCCTCACATAAATAGAACGCCGTCGCTGTACATGAACGTCACTAGCAACAAACGTACACACACCGTACGCGCCAGCAACTGAAAGCTCTGAGCATCTTCAGGCAAGCAAAGAATTGAGGATAATTCGTCCATTGTAACTCCACGATGTTGATAGAATTTAATTAGCGGTATTCGGACCGCAACACGAACATAAATTTACACATAAGAACATATGCTCGATGAGGAATTACAAAATATAATTAATAAATAGTATTAATTCCTTGGTAAAAAATTTCAGATACTATATTCAAATAACGTTCGAGTAGCTTGGATTTAGATTAATTTTAGGTCTCATCGATTGCATCCAAGGGTACGGCGATTCAAACATATTGGTAGCAAAAAATGAGTTTAAATTGTGCAATCAAGAACGAACAACATACGCTGTCAAAATGGCAATAAAAATGAGAAAGCAGTTTCATCACATGATACACAATCAACAAAAACGAAAAAAAAAATCCTGGCATTCGGCTGTAAAATAACGTTTTAATACGTTTAAATATAATCCGAAAGGCGTTCAGCTACATTATACATTACCTACCGATTAAGTAACTCAAGGCCATGAAGTTGAATTTATACTTAGTATGTATAAATAAATTGCGCACGAACTTTGCTGTCAACAAAACAAACTACAGATGGTGCAAAATAAAAAATTGTGCATAGATAGCAGGAGTTTTCAGCACAAGTTTACGTAAATACTAAGTTCGTTTATTAATCCGTATAATGCGGAACACTAAGAGAGAAAATAAATGTCTGGACTGGTCTGTGCAGACAAAGGCGTTAGCACCACCGACTCAGAGGTAGAGACCTTAGCAGCAGTTCAGCTAAATTTATTCCACCTTCAAAAATTGGCTGAATCATTCAAAAAAATGCCAAAGTCGCACAGCATAATCATTTGAACATAGATAGAGATAGAAATAAACGATTCTAAAGCATAAATAATTATTCAGCCGCTAAATAAGAGTGCAACTGTGTGACCTTGGTTTACAAACAAGGTTAAAGCTCTATCATATCAGTCGTAAAATCTACTAAAACTTACTCGATAGGGTAAGATAGCATTTGTGAGTTTTCCACGCTGCAAATAGAGTATCACTTTCAATTATGCAACGCATTTAAACAGAAAATAAGATCGCGTTATGAAGCACCATGCGCACACCGACCCCGAGCCTCGTCAACTACTTCAGTCGCGGCTGCTAGGGCGAGTGTTGGAGGAGAGAAGCAGTGGAGAGTGGGGGATACGCAGGGGTTGTCAGGGAACGCGTACACACACACGTACACGCGGTCGTCGAGTGCGCCAAAATACACACATGAGCAGTTACAGAATGCGCGTACATACGAGCACCACCTCCGACAAGCATCCTGCTAAGCCTCGAATTCTTAGCTCGATAAAAACTTTAATTGAACGATAGACGATCACTTTTCAAGGAGAGTGAAGAATTCCGGTTTATGACGAATAGTTATAATAATCAGAAAACACCAAAATTAAAATAGACAAAATACTAAATGGCATCTTGAAAACATTATAATTTAAAAATGAGAAATTACGGGGATTAAGTTACAATAATGATTTATTTAGCAAATAAATGTCAACAAGTTATCAGTTGGACAACTAAAATATCTTCCCATCTGAAAATCTCTTGATTCTCTCTCTGATTCGGTTGACGAAAAATATTATTACAATCTCAATTGATCACCGACGCTTCAAAATGAAGTTACAAACGGGACCCCATGAACGAAATCAATAGTCAAAAACAAGTAAATAATTGCTACGGAAGCAAACACAGATTTGCCCTGCGTTCAAAGGCGAGTTTCTAATTTTAAAAAAATAGAAGGCAGTAAAGATGAAGAGCCTCAAATCGCCCTTAAATGCATCAAAAATGGAGATGGCATCAGAAGTATAAAGAGAGAAAACAGCATGTTTTGGGAACAGGTGGCCTGCAAGCAAGAGAAAAAATATGATATTTAAAAAAAATTGGAAAGCAATCAACACGACAACAGTGTAATACAATCAATTGCATTAATTCTACCAGCATAGCTTGCAAATTTATACGAATAAAATTTAATATTCTTATAAGAGGAAGCTTGTAGTTTACTTGTGACGACGCATCAACTATGAGTCGTCATGCCAGGCACGCCCGCACATCCAACTCAGCGTGTGCACCGACTACCGACACTCGTGGCCAACACACTTCTACGTACACACAGTCTAGGGATCAGCCGGGGCCGCCTCGCTTGACCTGACTCAGGCCTTCATATCAACAAAACCAGTCTACGCAACCTTTTTTTTTAATTATAAGCCGATCTAAATCGTATTATTCCATTAATATAATTTCGAGACTTCAATAAGCAAAAATTTCGCTTCAGAACAACAATCGTGAGAACATGTTAACTTTTTTTATCAATTATAAGTCGGTTTCATACGTTTTAAATTAATAACCAAACATAAAATGACAAACCGCTTGAATTTTTTCACCGAACTAACAAGTCTTAGTGTTTCCAATAACTGAGAGGAAGAGAGGATGGAAATGAGTTAGTTAATTAAAAAGTTAATTAATTAAAATAAAATTTAAAAAAAATAAAATTAAAAAAAATAAAATTAAAAAAGTTAGTAAATTAAAATAAAATTAAAAATTAAAATTGAAGTTAAATTAACTCGCCGCCTCATCGGGCGCTCGTCCAGTATTCTAGCCTCGCAAAGCCAGTTTTTGTCATTCCGAGAACAAGTTTTGAAACTCCAGTAAAAAGACTTTAGGAGAAAAAGGGGCAAATTCCTTAGACTGTAAAATAATGGAATCGTGCATTGTCGTACGCCATGTGTAGTAAAATATGGCTTGATGAGGAAAATTGGCCATCTATTAAAATGCAGAACTAATGGAACAAATGGTGCGGTAAATTCCTCGTTTTCTGACATGATTATATTCGGAATCATCGTTTTGCCAGCTTCCAACAATAGTTGAAGAATTCACTAAAAATTAGCTTCAGAACTTATTACTTATTTATAGATACAAACTTTTTTTACTTCACGTTTTAATCAATAATTCCTAATTCCTGTCAAGCCCGACTCTCAAATTTCGGCAAATAAGTCGTTATCCATCTTATAAATAGGTAAAAATAAATTTGAAATTGATTAATCCAAACATGACATCCTAATAATTGATTAAAAATAAAAGCTGACGCAAGATTCAGCAACACTCCAACAATACAGCAGCCTCAGCAAGACGTGATGCGACAGCACTACACTAAGCACAACAATGTATAACCTGATGCGACAGCAGTACACTAAGCACAACAATGTAATCTTCAAAGTGTTACTATATCGTAAGCAAGTGATGAGCAAAAATTACACATCACCTGCTTTTTACTGCCAGAGAATAAATAATTAAGTAACATTTTTTCACATCAAGATAGAAATGAGCCTGAAATTTCTAGATCAAGTTGAAAATTTCTAGCAACACATGAAGAAAGCCTAAATAAATAACAAAGAAACACATGAAGACCCAAATAAATAACTAAGGGCAGGAAATGAATAAGCACGGGCCGTAAATAAATAAAGGGCAGTAAATAAACAATTATCGGCAGCAAAGGAAGAACTCGACTGTTTCCCGAGTTGTACGTCAGGATGGTACACGATCTTACAAGGAAGGCACATCATGTAACAAAGAGGCGCACTAGTCAG